TATTTATATTTCATGTGTCCCAAAGCTTTTTTCTGTAATATTCGGGTAAAGTTTATTTATGAAATACTGTACTTTTGCACAAGTAATTCGTAAGTTAAGCTGATGGAGTTGTTTCCTTTAAAAGCTTATAGTACAAAATGTTCATTGCAGAGTCTCCAAATCATTAGGTGTCTAGATCTAGAAGGTGTTTTGTCTGGGGTATCTGCAGTCTCTGAGTCACGTGCAATAAAGTAATCACACGCACAGAACTGAACGTGTTGCCCCTGCCCCAGAATTCCATTTGTGTGTAAGCAGCCATTTTGTACTACAGTGTAATGGAGCAGTGCAGGAAATGCAAGCACCCTTAGGGCAGGAATGACTGCCAGTATGCAATTTTTACTTTATTTTAGTTTAAAATATATAAACATCACTAAGGTGTTTTAAAATACTTATTTATATTTGAAAAGCTATGCTAGCTTCACCAATTAATTTAAAACTTCCTTGTTCTAAAACCATTACTGCTCAATGTGGTGGTAAATGAACCAATATTATTCTCAGTTCATATGTAGCATTTCAAAATATATTTTTAATATGTATGATAAGATTTATTAATCATGAAACAGAATTGAAATCAGTGTTTTATAATTTAATAATTCTTGTCTTCCTCCCTTCTTTGTGGAAAATAAGGTGTCTGTTTAAGAGGAGACTTAAGAAATTGTGGCCATCTCTGTGCAGTGTAAAACTGTGGTTCAGGCCATGGAACCCTGAACTTCAGATAGGAGCACAGCACCTTCAGAAGGGATGAGGCACCTTGCAGCAATGGCTGTTCCTGTTCCAGAGGTGATAAATAATGATGAGCTGTAATCTTTGAATTTCTGTTAACTGAAGCAATGCTTCACAGTTAGTTTAGGCTCTAAAACTGCACTTACATGCCTTTGCCACACAAAGCCAGCCCACAAGAATCTATCCTATGTCAAGAAATACAGAGTAATTACAGAATAATTCTAAATATTCAGATACTTGAGCAGCATGTTGTTAAAATCTAGGATATCAAAACAAACTTTGACTAGAAACATTTGAACTTTCATGTCAAACACAACCCAAAAGGATACTATTCAAAAGGAGGACCTGTGTAATTCATAGATTTTACTGAAGCCAGCATTTTGCTCCTTCATTGTACTCATTTGATAAATACAAAAAATGATGAAAATGTGTCATATTACTTGTGGGAAATGCCAACTGATTATAGTTTATTTAACGAAAAAGAGTGTACTCTATATGTAATAAAACAGAAATTCCAAATGCTATTCTTGGTCTATTTCCACCATTTAACTTGCTGAGCTTGGCACCATCCTCCATGCTGTATTTTTTTTTTCTGCAATCTGTCTTCAATACAGGCATGTGAAGTTTTTTTTCAACCACCTCACTTAACTTTTGAGCAGATAAGTATGTTTAAGCTGTGTGTGTTCTGACAGCTTTTTGCTATGAAAGAAAATATATGGAATAATAAAGGTGTCTTGTTGGGTTCCGAATCAGTAGGAATAGCTGGAAATAGAAGGAACAGAGTAAGTGTTCTGCATATTCTACAGCAAATGTATGACCTGTAGGTAACAGAGGAAAGTGTCTGCTGTGATTTGTCTGGTCCAATAAAATGGTATGAAGAAAATTATACCTTACCATACATCACAGAGAAACAGAAATGCACTTCTTCACAGAATTAAAGGTATAATGAGATTTTCATATTATTTACAAAAAGCTCTTGAAGAAACAGAGTTGCAGTTGACATTATAAATGTTTCCAGACACATGGAAAAAAGTAAAATCTGGAAACTTGGTCTTCTGTCAAAAACAAAAGGATTGTTTTAAGCGAAGAATAAGAAAGGTCTAATCAAACACCAAACTATTTAGAAAATGGGGAAGAACTTCATAATATCTGACTTAAGCATTTGTGTCCCTTTAAAACAGAAGCACTTGTGTACACTCATAGAGCTCTCAAAAGTCCACAGAATTGGAGTGGAAATGGAACCGATGTATTTCCCATATAGAGGGAAAAATACAGGATCTGGTTCTTGTAAGATGCCACAAACACTTGAATGAGAAATGGTAAAGAAACTGAAAAAAAAGGGAATATAGAGACAGGCAAATGTGCAGGTACAGGTGGGAAGGCTTTTGATCTCCTCTGAGTCTTTTTCGATCTATTTCTGAAAAGCATTCATCTATTGTGAGCATGTAAGCAGCTCCAGAGAGAGATGCAGGTTGAAATGGGAGATGACTCTCTCTTGGCAGCATGGACTGCAATCAGTTCTCTTACATCCTGCACCTTTAGCTGGACAGAACATTTGTTGATAAGCAGCCATGTGGCTGATGAATTTCAGAAGTGCACCATCTCTGCAAACACAAGTGCCAGAGCTGCACCACAGCAGTGATAGTATGATGCAGTTCTACTCCAGTTAATTCATAATCAGACTCAGAATTTATTTTATAGTGTCTAAATTTAGATAGTTTTGAATGATACTTTCCATGCTAATAAGAACAAACTAAATTTAAAAGCCATCCTCTTCTGACATAACAGTACTCCTAAGATTAGAAATGTTGAATGCATAGGGATTATAAAGAATCAAATATTTATATCATTTGTAATTTAGTTGTAATTATTATCTTACTTTAAATGTGTTCTTAATGATTATTATTCTTCCTTTTTGTAGTGTTTGGTTTCTATCAAAGTAAATGTGTCAAATCAAGTGTTAGTAAGAGTATTCGTGACCTTTCTATTGCCTAAATGAACTGCAGCTGTGTATATAAAATAAAATATTTCAGTGAAACAACTGTTGCTCATATAACTGTATCTGAAACTTGCATTTGCACAGTTCTTGAAATCTAATGCGAAATTATTTAATATGGGAGGAATTTTGATACCAGTTAGTCATCCTGAAATTGGAGTTTGGTGCCTGAAATCAACAAAGAACAGCTATTACAAAATTTACTATATAAATGAAAAAAATAGTGAATGGGATCAGCTTTTGGGATGTCCGGGTTCATTGCATACAGCTCTATGGCAAGCTGTTGTCTCTCTACTGGGTTTTAGGAGATTAATTTTTTCAGGCTTATTTCCAAGCCAAACTGCTGTTCTAAGCTCCAGTTGTGGATCAAGACCTCCTTTATGAAGTAATATAAATAATGAAATAGAGGACATAAAGAGTCTAACCCCTAGTGCTGTAGAAGGGCCACGTCTCCGTGCTTTGATCTACCCACATTTGTTTTATGTGTTATATGTGTTCATCTGCTGAAAGCGGGTGGGTCGCTGGCAGTCGGAAGCCCCGACGCCACTCCTGTGCTTCAGTACGGCTGCCCCGAGGGTGGCACTGGGGCAAAGTGCCTGCTCTGCCCTTCACAAGGCAAACAAACGCCTTTTGTGTTTTAGCTTTGATAGCCGTCGGTCACATCTGCACAGCCTAAGGTCGCGTGGTTATTGTCCTAGTGGTGATAACCCAGCTGAAAGTTAGGCTCCAGTCACAATACAAGACACAATACAAGAGAGATAGGAAGAACACATTTCTGCACTGGAAACCTTGCAACTGAACATGTAGGGAAAAAGTCATCTTTAAGCAGGAAGAGGAGTGTATTCAGATGTAATAAAATCACGTTTCTGCCTCTGCTTTATAAAGTTCCCAGCGACAGGCGCTGCTTTGAGCCACCGCGCTCTGCCTCTCGCAGTCTGGCACTAGGGAGATTGCTCCCCGCTCCATCAGCGAACTGTCACATTACTATTATTAGTTGATCGCTCTCCATGTGCCATTAACCGGCCCGGTTCCCGACCGCCGTAGGTATAAAACCCTGCGGGCCGGCAGAGCCAGCGCAGCGGAGCGCTCCCTGCCTGCGGGGCCGGGGCTGCGGTGAGTGAGGCTGGTGTGGGGCTGCCGAGCCGGCGCAGCCCCGGCGGTACCGGGCCGGGGAGCTCCGGGCCGGGCAAAGCCGCGGTGCTCGGGACCAGCGCGGGCAAGGCGAAGGCAGAGGCTGCGGGCAGTGAGTCCCGGTGTGTCCCGGTGCGTCCCGGTGTGTGCCGGTGCGCTCCGCCGCCCCCCGCCCGCTGCCCTGCGGCACGGCCGGCGGGGCCAGGGACGCGCAGCAGAGCGGCGGCCTCGCCGCCCCGGTTATTTATAGCTCGGTGCTGCTTCCAGCCCAAAATTAGCCTGTTGGCCGGGCTGCTGCCGGCGGGGAGGGGGGCTGGCTGGCTGCGCCCCCCGCTCGGCCAACGAGGGGCCGGGCACGGCGCGCCGAGCCGCAGGGCCGTGTTCGAGCCGGGCCGGGCCGGGCCAGCTGCCGCGGCGCGGGGCTCGCCTGGAATGCGGGCGCCGGGCGCGCGTCGCGACTTTTATGGAAAGTTGCAGCGGCGGAGCGGCGGCCGCAGCCAAGGGGCGCTCGGCAGCGCAGCCCGCCCGCCGGCGGAGCGCCCCGAGCCGCAGCGCGGGCAGCGCACAGGTAAGAGCAGCTCCGCCGCCGCGGGGCACAGCGCAGCTCGGCCCCCCCCCGCCCGCTCCCCTCCCCGCAGCCGGCCCCGCTGCCCCGGCGTGCGGCGGGGCTGGGGCTGCCTGCCCGGCCGGACCCGCGGCGGGAGCGCCGTCTCCTCTCGCAGCCGAGAGCCGCCCCGCTCCGCTCCGCCGGCGGCCGGGCCGAGCACAGCCCGCAGGGCTGCGGGGCAGTCGCGCCTTCGCACCGCGGCCGCGGCGGGGGGGCCCGGACCGGGGGCGGTGCAGCCGCAGCCCTGCGGGAGCGGGACTGGCAGCGCCCAGCGGGGCCAGCGGGGCCAGCGGGGCGCGGGGTCCCGCGGGGTCTCTCGGGGTCTCTCGAGGTCTCTCGGGGTCCCTCGGGGCCGCAGCGGTTTAACCGAAGTCGCTGCCGTGCGCGGGGCTCGGCCCGCCCGGCCCCGCTGAGGCGGCCCGGGGGACGCGGAGCCCGGGAGGGCCGTCGCGCCCTGCCGTGAGAGATCCGCGGTGAGTGATGTGAGATTTATAAAAGTTAGGTGAAAATCCCGTAAATCCCCGATTTTCAGAAGCCGCGTGTCTCTACACGCGGAGGAGGTCGGTTTTGTTGGTGTGGTCCTCAGCAGCGAGGGCATACTGAATGCGTCCATTGGTTCTGCTTCTCTCTGAAGTGATGGCTGTAAAACAGTGGCTTGGAAGAAGATATTTGGCTTCTGTGACAGCTTGCAAATATGCTATTATCATGTTTGTTTTAGGTAAATAAGGGCTTCTTTTAAGCCAACAAATATCGAAAAAAGCATGTTTAATGAAGCATGTTAGAATTTCAAAAATTAATCAGCAAATAGCTGTATGATAGAAAATACAGCACTCTTAACCTTACATCTCAGGTCTTAAGAGACATTAGATCTCCTATAAAATTGTCCAATGAAATGATGAATTGCAATTGGTCTTAGAGAAGGGCCAAGTGTATCAATTAAGGAGCATGCAGAAGTATGAGAATATGACTGGTATATGTAGAAAGCACAGTCTGGTGAAATATAAGAGCTGGGTAGATGGTTTAAGACATCAGTAAGGAATACTTTCTCTGACTGCATTTGGCATGTATTGGATGAGTAGTTTTCTCAGTGAAAGAAGTCAGGCAAGCATTTATATGGTTATCCAACTTTGAAAGTCCTCTAAGGAAGACCAGTGCCATGCTCAAGGTGGCTGCAGGGAGGCAGTGGGGAAAGCTCATGGCATTGGGAGAGCAGTGCAGGGGGCAGTGGAAGTGACCCTTGCTGTGCACCAAAGGCAGCTGTAGCTGCTCAGGTCGAGGTGGTACACATGATGCAGCTTTTACAGGCACCCCCAGCGGGGTAGAGTTGCTCAGGGGGAAGCAGCAGCGTGTCTCTAGGAAGCCCCGGAGACCTCTCCTTTGTGGCAGAGGCAGAGCTCAAGCCACGACCACACTGGGTAACGACCCCTACTTCAGTCTGAGCTGGCCAAGAGCATTCCTGAGAAGAGGCAGAAAGGATGTCCTGTCAATGGGGAAGATACAAATTGCAGTAACACTTCATGGCCAGTATTTGCATTACCTTGATCTCTGAAGTCCTGTCAGCGATGTCAACACAGCACATGGTTCATCTTCAGCTGCTGTGACACAGCAGGGAATGGAGGAACTGTGGTGTGGGGCAAAATATCCTGTTTTGTTCCCTTGGAGACCTCAGTTCACAATTTACTGCCACTTCCATTAGGATCAGCAGAAACCATGGAACATGAAATCATGGGCCAGAGGATCCCAGCAGGACATCCCCCTTACCAGAGCAGTCTCTGAACCCCCACTATGTTTGCTCCAGAGCCTGTGTACCCCACAGTAGCAGAAGAGAGTAAGGAATCAGCAGACCTTTTGTACAGAGAAGGGTGATTACATTTTTGTGACAGCTGGGCTGAATGGCACTGTTGCATTAGGAGTGTTTATAGCTGTATAAAACATAGGCATCCTTTATAATACGTATGTTTTTATAAATAACACTATCTGCAAGGAATATTCTACAATAAAATAAGACTCCCAACAAATGCTGAAGTGTAATAAATTCAAAGATTGAGGAAAAGATTGTGTATGAAAAATTGTGTGTCATTTATTCATAAACACTCTGGTACTTAATTACGAACACTTAATGATGGAAATACAAGTGAGTGAAGTAGTTTTGCATCTTGTATTTATACAAAATAGACAGCTGGTATTAATTGTCATAACTCACTGGCTTCAGTGGAGCTGATGGTTGATGCCAGCTCAGGATCTTCCCCTATTGCATGATAATTTTAGTATCTACTTCAGTATCTGTAATTTGGTACAACAACTGCTGGTGTCATTCCAGACCAGTTACAGGGAGGACATAAATTATGACCATTTCCCCTCCTCTGTCCAGTTCTGTTTAATATTTTGTTAAATATTTCAACACTGTGTTTGAACACAGTGCTGGGGACTGTGTTTGCCTCTGCTTGATGCTTTGGCTGCAAGCAGTGAGTTTCCAACTCTCACAGTCAGAAACTGTGAGAACCAAACTCAGTTTGGTTTTCTTATATAATGGAGTCTTCCCTGCAAGTAGATCACAAAGAGGAGACAGATGGTGAACGTAACTTAGTCTGTGCCATGAAGGGCTTATTTATAACTCACCAGTAGGAGAGCAGGGGGCCTCCCGAAAGGAGAAATCACAGAGGAACTGGACCTTTTTTTTAAAGTCCTGACTTCATACTCCTATTGTAAAGAGTGGTGTCCAGTTCAGGGAAATGCTGGTATTTTTTGTGTCTCACGTGAGGATGTTTATCATGCCCCTGAAAAACAATAATTTTTTTAAAGAAAGCGAATTATATTATTTATGGGAATGTTCTTTATTTTTTTATCTAGTTAAAGCTGCACAATTTTTTTTTGATCAATTGAGGACTCTGACCTGCTTTCAGAAATGGAAATTAATTAAATTTAAGGAGATGGATTTTGTGACTTGTGAGCTATCAAACTTTCTGTGTCCCCTTAATGGTTTCCTTTTTTCACTTTTTTTTGCCCAAAGTAAAATTTTAGGGAGGCTGCACGAAAAGCAGAAAAAGTGCTATGATAATAACAGATCAAGGCATATTTGAGGTGATTGCTTGTCTATTTACAGTAAATGAATAAGATGTTTTAAAGCAGTAATTTATTTTGTTACAGAACATTTCTAATCTGTTGCCTGGTTTCCTATGCATTATTGGTTTTGTATTAAATTTTCACTTGAACTTAGAAATCCCTCTCTGCATCACAGCCAGTCAGGTTAAATGGCATTTTCTCTTTCTTCCAGTCCCAGAGGTAGGATCATCAGTCACTGAATGCAGGTAAATATTTTTTTGAGGAGTGGACCTTTCAAAGGGGAAGTCTGGTACTTTCAGTATAAAACTCATAACACCAGACGAACTTTATCAAAGATATGTAATTTAATTGTAGAAAAGATAAAATGTGGAGAGAAAAAAAATTACACTATTTTCAGGTGAATGCTGGGGTGATGAGACTAGGTCGGCAAAGGGTAACAAGCTGAACTTGTTTTTTGATCATGGTTATGTTCAAAATTATAATCTGGGATTTTTTTCAAGTGGGAAATTTCAATGAGGAGCTGTTACAGCTTCTGCTGAGGTACGTTGATTTTGGGAAATAAAAGATGAGACTGAATATTAAGATTGGACAGCTTTGTAGGAGAAATAGTTTCTGAAGTAAGCAACTAAACAGGCAGGCTTGTGTTGCCTAAAAAAATAATAATTGCTTTTATTAGATGAACTCTGAGAAAATACAAAACAAGAGTATGTACATATAAATGCACAACTTAACATAATTAGTTCATCTCAAAAGGGAATTAGTAGGTCAAGGTTTCTTGGGTTGGAAAATCTATTATTGCATACTTCTGCAAAGTTGTTGGCAGATGAGGAAGGCACTGTTCTTCCATGATGTGTGTAGGTGTCAGGACTTCTGATGTAACCACTCGGGTTTTCTCAGCCCCAATTCATTGACTGTGACCCTCTCCTGATGGTGAGGCAGATACAAAGGAGCTTCAGTCTGCAGTGGTTGTTCCTGAAGCTGTGGTCATTGCCTCACAGACCCAACCCAAAACTCCAGGAGTGCTTCTTTTTTTCTTAAATATTTTGATTGTCTTTATTGGAAATTACTCATCTGCCTAAGAGGTGCCCTAGGCAGGGTCCAGCTGCTGGTCCTGCTCAAGGTTTAATGACCATGGGGAGGGATGGAAGTGCAAACATGGTGGTATCATGTTTAGCAATGTGCTGGTGCTTTATATTAATCTCTTTTAGCATCAGAGGTGGAGGTAGGATGACTTGCAGAGGCAAAATGCCTTAAAGCCAGCTGGCTAACCTTCAAACATATTAGAGTTAGTGATGCCAATGAACTGGAAAGTAGCCTAAAGTAATAGCAGATATGGCAGTATTCCAAATGGCAGAAACGTATTTGCCATCTTGAAGTCCCACAACCTGTTGGAAGTTCAGACAGCAGGAATTTGCAAAGAAAATTTCTTCCAACATTCACACTTCTAAGGAAATTTCAGATTGTTATCCCACTGTCAAGAAGTTGGAGCTATCACAAAGATTCGAGACAGTCTTGACTCACAAACATCATCTTCTTACAATTAATTGCACATAATAAACCAGACTTTGGGATAGTCAGTTTTCAAATGACTTCAAGATGAAGCTCTATCCACAGAATACACTGCTGTGATCAAGATTAGTGGTAACCTTACCTTGAGGTGTTGAGGTAAAACAGAATTTCTTCACAGATTATATTTGAGTCTTCTCTGCTCCAGCCCCATGTCAAGGGTAAAAGGTCTCTGTGTCCCAGGTTATTTCTGTGCAAGGATTGCACCAGTTCATGACATTCCTTTGTTTTCTGATGGGTTCCTGCAGTAAACCTGTGAGTCAGCTGCTGTATGTTAACAGCTCCAAGTGGGGAAGGAGCCATTAACAGAGCAGAGTAGCAAAAGAACAGAGAATGTTCTCTAAGACCTGCTTATAGAAATAAGGAAGTTAAAAGATTAGAAGTAGTTTTAAGGTTATACTGATCACAGTGGAGAATTTACTTACATGCATAGAAGCCAGCTAAAGCTTACAGAGATATGCAAATCCTGCAGTGTACAAATGGATGGTAAAGCTGTAGGGACTCTCAGGCTACAGAATGCTGATACAATTATCTGCCTTCCTAGACTCCACACAATTTTAACATGATATTGCTGCCCTGAAACAATCTCAATAGGAACTGCCACTTAGTGATTTTATGTTCATGTGTTCACAGGTGAGAAACTGAAATGCCTTGGATTCCTATCAGTCTACAAATGAAGGAGTGGGGTGGGAGTGGTGTGACTTCTTGTACTGACTTATTGAAAGGGAACACCAAAATGCTCTCCAGAACATCTCTATTGAAGCCAAATTTGAAGAGTTTAGAGTTTGTAAATCAGGGCAAACGTTGGTAGCTAAATGCTCTTGTTTCATCTGTTGTGACTGCTTTCATTGGGAAAAACATCCCAACATCTGTAAGAATCCCATTCCATTTGTGTAGCTACAGCAGTGCTGGTGAGCATTGGGGATGTTGGTGTAATTTTGAAGAGTTTACATGAAAACAACTCTTAATTATTTTTAAAACGACATCAATATTTCTGTGTTTATAACCTGTTTGCAATTAACAGTTAGAGAATTTGAAAAATAAGAGCTTACTTTCCATATAATGAAAATCCCTGACTTCAGCTCCTCTAAACTGCAAGAAGTCCCTTCCAGTGGTAAGCTGCTTTTCCAGCATTTTTGCTTAAAATCTTTGAGCCCCTTTTTAGCACCATGTTTGGCACACTGAGTTTTTCGACTTTCCTGGGACTCAGAGGGTCAGAACAATATAGACAGCAGTAGCACTGGAGTCACATCAGGATTTCCTTCCTCCCACAAGCTCTGATAGATCTGAAGCTTAAAAGAAAAGAAAAAAATAAGAGAAAGTGCCTTTCTATTAGTTCTCTAGTAAATACAGTGTACTTTAAAATTTCTAACAATTTTCTTCTAAAAAATGCCATGCAATTTCTAGAACACAACTAAATTATATAACTGCTTTATCTGCATGTGGCTTTCCTCTCTCATTTCATAGGTTTTGGCACTATTCTTCCCGGGAGACAGCCCCAGGAGAAGGGACAGCATTACTTTGTACTCGTGTGTCGGGTGAAGGGCCGGAGATGCAGCCACGCCTGTGCACGCAGGGGCTCCCCCAGCCCTTGTGTCCTCCCGCAGCCGCACGAAGGCACAGCAGCGGCTCGGGGAGGCCGGGGGCAGCTGGCCCGAGCTCCGGCAAAGCTCCGGCAAAGCTCCGGCAAAGCTCCGGCAGCCGCAGCCCCGCTCACAGCCCGGAGCTGCGGCGCTTTCCCTGCGCTGCCACGAGCGCCGGCAGCAGCAGTTTGGCAACAGAGTTTGGCTCCAAGTTGTTTGTTCTTATAAATGGAAATTAGAACCCGGTATTTAGGGCTGTATAGAGGAGTTATGAGCATGAATAGTGAATCATAAGCTTGTTCTTTTAATTACTGTGGCACACTTAGAACCTATTCATGTCTTCAAAAGCCCCAGAGGACCAAGTGAAATTGTGATACATCAATTTCAGCCTATGCAAACTTATTTACAGGAAGACGGTTAAAGCATCATTTAAAAGGAAAAGAATGTAACTACAACTGTTTCTTTCAGGTAGAAACTGAAAGCCACCTTAAACATACCAGGTGCAGAGCACAATACAGTAACCATGAATGACATTGCACAGAAAACTGAGGTATGTACCAATTTTAAAGTAATCAAGGCAATGTAATAATTTATAACTGATGCTTGCAAAAGTAGCAATTACAAATAATTGTAATTAATAATAACAAATAATAGTAAAGGACAATTATATTGAAAGTCAGCTGGTATTATTTTTAGACAATGAAGGCAGACTTAAGTAGCTTAAGATTTGATGGAATCTGTGAATTATGTTTTTATTAAAAAAACATGGAGGAGGGCAAAATAAATGCAATGAAATATGAAGAAGGTTTAAATGTTAGTGGCAAAATTCTGGGCAATATTTACATCTGATTCTAAAATGTAAATCTAATAGGCTACTTCAAGTATTTCTTCTACGTAGACTTACTGAGTAGCAGGAACAAAAACTTCTGGTGTAGGTGGAAAAATATGAAACACAGCATGTTTTTAGTCAGTTTTCTTGTATGACTTCGTTGAGAACATTTCTGTTGTCATCACTGTAAAAGGAGAAAACTTCACAGTAATTCTGAATGTGGGAACCTTTGGTGTTTGGACACTCACAGAGCAATCACTGGCAAAGAAGTGGCCATTTGCTGTATCAGTATCAGAGCCCTGATAGTCCAGGGATCTTTGCACTTCGTAACATAAAATCACTGGGCTCCTGGTTTTCTCTAGGTATTAAAAAGTAAGCATATAATGTATTGGAAATTTTAAATTAAGAAATACTACTGTTTATTTTAAAACTATAGATGGCTGTTGAAATGTTGCAGAAAAAACCCCATACCTATTGTATTATGCATCTATGTCTTTATATCTCTTTTAAATATTAGGGGCAGAGCATGCCTTTGGTGACTGCTTAAGACTGCAAGCAACAATATAAGCCTGTATCTAATTTAATAGTTTAATATAATGCTGAATGTTGTTTTGGATATTTCAGTATTTATGACTATTTATGAACAATGATGCTTAACTGATGATGGCTCGTGGCACAAAGTTCATGATCTCAGTTGCACTTCTGTTTTATGTTCTTACATTCTTTCTAATCGAATCTATCAGAATATTTCTGTCTATCTGTTTCAACTTTCTTTTTCTTATCTTCATTTCTTCTATATCTTCATCAAGATTCTGCTTTCTTCATCTAAACCCGTCCAAAAGTCGTATGTGCCCAAGCTTCACAAGGGTGATGTAAAGGATAAATTTGAAGCTATGCAGAAAGCAAGGGAAGAAAGAAATCAAAGGAGATCTAGAGATGAAAAGCAAAGAAGAAAAGAACAATATGTTAGAGAGAGAGAATGGAACAGGAGAAAGCAGGAGGTTATTTTCTTTGCTAATATTTCATGTTATATTAATATTTAATATTATATCTGAAAATCTATTCACATTATTTGAAGACAATAATACTGGGTTTTCATTTAAGTTATAAAGACAGTTTACTTTCTGTTTTACATCAACCAGATGAAAGAACTGCTTGGATCTGATGAAGATGATGACACCAAACTATCTAAAATAGAAAAGGGTTATGTTCCAAAGCTCATAGGTAAGAGAGGCCCAACTTTAAAGGCCACAGAATTCACTGGGTAAGTGTTGGATGTAACTGCTGAGCTGTGCATTTCTTGTCCACAGGAACCGTTAAAGGCAAATTTGCAGAAATGGAGAAGCAAAGGCAAGAAGAAGAGAGAAAAAGAATGGAAGAAGAAAGAAAGCGCAGAATTGAACAAGATATGATTGAGAAAAGAAAAATTCAAAGAGAATTGGCAAAAAAGGCACAGGAGGTATGTTCATCTGATCACAACAGTCAGGATGTTAATTGTAAACAGTAAACATGAGAAACATTTTGTATTGCCAGAAGGATCTGATCTTAAGATTTCTGATTCACATGGGAGATACTCAGTGGGGTGGAAGTGAGACATAATGTTCAGGGAGTCTTCATTTCTTTACAGAAACAGTTTTAAGCTCTGAAGCTGAGTTGCAGATGAAACTGGGCAGGCATGAACCTGGTAGGAACCAGGCACAAATTTTGCTGTCATATGCGTATGAGTTTACTAAACTAATTTAAAAATGTTTCTTGTATTTTATGAACTCTTACTTTAGACAACCTTTGCCTGTAAGTCAGTGAATAGAGCTCAGTGATACATGAACTATGGCAAGCAAGAAGCAGTAAGAAAATAGCAGTGGCAGGCAAAAATGAGACAACACTAATGCAGTAGAAATAATAAATCATGATGATCAAGGTCATGTTTTATTACTTTGCCATTTTTGTGAATAATCACTGCATATATATATGTGTGTGTATGTGTATATATCTTTATATATATATATAATATATGAACAGACTCCAACTTCTGTTGATACCAATAAAGCAAATTCTGTCTTTTGTAGAATTTTGTGAAGAGATATCAAACTTAATTCCTTCTGCAAGTTTTCTTCAGTGTAAACATTTAAATGATTGACTAAAAACATATGCAAATTTCTATTTAACCAAATGACAGTGGTATGTAACTTAGGTTTGAATTTGTTGTAAGAAATGAAAAGCAGTGCTATAGGAGAAGTCAGTTTTTGGATAGTCTTTTCTACTAGAACTTCTAACATTGTTAAAACTGTACTTTTAATTGGCATGGCATCGAGCATGTATTCTGCAAGGCAGAAGTACATACATGTAGAATTTTAAGAAGTATGGTAATTTTAGACCATAACACAGGTACACCACAGGAAGCAAGCACAGCATTAGGCTTTTTTCAGGAGCTGAGCGGAAGACAATGTCACTGGAATCAGAAATAATCAATTACTATGCTTTAGATTTTTAATTTTTTTTTTTACCCAATTCTGGAATGTTTAAATGAAGAATGGACATCTCAAGCACTGTTCTTGGCTCAGCACTATGTTGACAATGCTTTAACAGATTTTGTGTGGAATGCTTTATGTCTTGTTGCCTCTTCCTTGACAAGCTGACCCATCTGAGGTATTCCAACAGAGCTTCAGTCATTACCAGATCCATGAATTTATGTGCTACATACATATCACTGATACAAAAAGAATTTCCAGTTCTATGTTTGCAACTCTAAGGCAAAGAGCCAAATCAATGTAATCATATGAAATTCTCATTTAATAGATTGATGACTTTAACAATACGGGAAGTGAATCAGCAGCTGAGGTAATCAGATTTTTTTAAAGAAATGTTCACCTACATTTTTATTCACTTTGTTTTATTATTGTAATTTGGGTTGGGAAACTTAGAAGACAGCACACAAATACCTAATTAAAGTTCAGCCAAGGAGCTAACAAATTTTTAATGTACATGGAACTACCTCTGTACTTGAAATCAATATATTAAAGTCTGAAACAGAGCCTGGACTATGAATAGTTTGTGGTTAGTCAAAAACATCTAAAATGTAAATATTCAAAGCCACCAGAATTATTTGATATATATTGGGAATGATTCTTTTAAGTCCTCTGGCTTTGCAAAGAATTATCTTAAAAGCTCTTTGCCTTAAACTTGAAATTAAAGGGGGATTCTGAAAATATATAGATGTTTGAACATCCCAATCAGTTAACTTTTTTATTTTTTTACTAATATACCATATGGGTTTTGATTTTAAGTCTTGCAAATAAATGTTTTATTTGAAAAAGCTGTGTCTAAAGCTTTCTATTGTCTTTCACTAACACAAGAAAATCACACTTCTACTACAGTTTCGGAAAGAAAAAACTAAACCTGCAAATTCATCAGTTTTAACTTATTCGATGGGGGAAAAATATGGGTAAATTATATTTTGGCAAATAAGTTGTAAAAATAGAATTGGAGGAGCAACATCCTTCAAAAAAACAATTACTGTACCTGACAAATTACTTATTAGAAATTACAAATGATGTATTTCTGTGTTGAGCTGTTGGCTTATTCTAGCCACAGTTTATTATCATTTACATAATAAATGTAAAACTGGAAGTAGAGTGTGGTTACAATTGCTGTGTATTCAAAATTACACCTGTTCTTTCCCAAACCTTGAGTCTTTATGGCAAACAGTTAATGAAAACCTATAACGAAATTAAAGAGTTTGCCAGCCATTATGTTTAAAATATAATTCAGTTCTTGATACTCTTCATGTATTAGAAGAAAATTAGTGACTGCCACAGGCAGGTGGATTTATTCTTGTGGGTAATATTCAATACAAGCAAATCCTTTGGAAGCTTTGGTGCACACAGGTTAAACCAGCAGGTTCATTAAGAAATGAGTCTACCTAGAAGTCAAGTTTCATGAAAATATAATAAATATCTTTTTGGACAGGAAGGGGATGATTCACTGCTAGTTACAGTAGTGCCTGTAAAAAGCACCAGGACACCTGGGAAGATGAAAATAACTTCTGAGAACACAGGAAAGGAGAGAGCAGAACAAAGAAAGACACAGGATGAAGAAATCAAGCTAAAATATGAGGAACAAAACCAATTCCTTAAGGAACCCAAGTGCCTTTCATTTGTCAAGGTAAACCAGTCATTCAAAAATACCTATATAATAGATACTTATTGGGTTAAGATACAACTGTTTCATTTTTCTTACACAGGGTGAAAATGAAAACAGTGAAACTCAAGAGTCTCTGTCTCCCGGTAAGCTGAAAGTCACATTTGAAGAACTGGAAAGACAAAGACAGGAGAATCAAAGGCGGCAAGCAGAGGAAGAAGCAAGGCAGCGTTTGGAAGAGGAAAAACGTGCCTTTGAGGAAGCCAGGCAGCGAATGGTAAGTGCACGTCTTCCTGTCGGTACAGAATCTGCACATTGCTTTTACATTCTTTCCTCTACGGGATTCTTCTTTTTTCTTATTCCTTAACTTTATTTTAGCTGTTAAGACTCTGGAAATAAGTTTTTGAAAGACATTTTTGGCCTTTGTTCTCAGTAACCATATTGGCATAATGCTTTAGATATTCTTTTAGTAAACCCAAGGAATACAGGTGTTTTGATTTTGCCAGATTCTCTGTCTACACTTTGTAGTACCTTAAGCTGTAAGACTTCAAGATGAGTGGCTATCTGTTTTCTTCTGTAGTGCTGCAGATGATTCAGTGACAAGTTTTTGATGCAAACATTCTGTAGGAACAGAATGCCATTTCTTATCCCCATATTTATTTGTAAATGTGATAGAAATATACATAAATTACAAATCTCCTCTTTTGAACGAATGCAAAAAAAAAAGATCAGTTTTTTTGTATGTACTGACATAAACAACAACATACTATAAATTACTCAATGAAGTCCCCCAAACTGTCAGAAATGCAGCTCACAGATCCTGTTTTCTATTACTTGGAAAACTGCCTCCATCTGTGTTCTTTATCATAAGTCAGAGTTACATTAGATCAGCTATAAACAGACCTCACTATAGTTTGTTCTTTGATCAAACTGAATGAATCACAGGTTACTACAAAGATAACTAGATAATTTAGTTCTGTATTTCCTTATTTTTCCATACTCCAATAGTATTTTTAAAGTTCTGTATTTGAATACTTTTTCCCTGTACAGTCATGATCACTATGACTTTCTTAATTTACATACAAAATTCACATACAAACAAGATTAACAAGAAATGAGATTTTAATCTTGCATAAAAACTTGGAAAATATTATTTATAGGAATTTGCTAGCTTTAACAGAGTATAATTGCATGAACAGTCTTGGAAAAACAGTTCTAGATCATTATTTCAATTATATTTCAAAAACATTCAAGACATTTATATTCTACAGAAACAAACAAAACCACCAACACAGAACATCTAGAAAGCTGAAACACACAAATTCCCAACTGGTCCATATTGAGAGAGTTCTAGGTTTAGGGAGATATCCAAATTATAGTTTGCTTCTTCACCTCCACCTCTAATAGATCACTGTTGTTTCCCACCAATAACCTTGCCATTATGTCAATAATGCACTTTTTTCTTTTTTGTTTGGGGTTGGGCAAAGGATTCTAGTGAAGGAGAAGAGCAAAGAAACTGAAGGAGAGTGAACTTCATGAAGTCACTTAGGTGTTCTAACTGAAGATTTGTTCACATCTCTCTTCCTTATGCTTATTCATTTATTTATGAAGTAATACGAAAAAATTTACAAATTGTCCACATCAAAAGAAATTTTCTAACATGAAGTTATACCTGCTGACCAGTGGATGTCAAAACTTGAAGTAAACATTTTTCTTAAGAATTCAGCAGTTAATTTCCTTCAATTCTTTTATTTTTTTCCCTTACAAATTTCAGACAAAAGAGTTCTCTAATTCCCTTAATGGGCTACCCCACATACCAGTCCCAGGGCTGCTCACAGTATAGAGATCTGGATTATCAGTACTCTGACAGCTCCCAGTCTACTTCCTCCATTAACAGATAAAGTACTCTGGGATGTCCTCTCAAAGGGGTTCTTGATTGCAGTTTGCAAACCACAGGCTTCTCTTAGCAGGTAAGTGTTCACTGGAGAGAAGCTATAGTGAAGAGATCACAGTATCTCAATTCCTTTTCTTCAGTGATGATTAAATGTCTAAAAAGAAAAGAAACAAAAATCTCAGTCTGAAATAATAGCAAAATACTGATTCAGTTTTGCTATAAGACTGCACAGCATTTCTTTAACTGGTGCACTGATGAAAAAGATGTAAATAAAAACAAAAAAAAATGATGGACAGTAAACAATCCAACAATGAGACCATAAAGTATGTACTTAACTGTCCAGCCTCTTCCTAGTAACACTTTGAATTACACATTCAACGGATTTTTAAAAACTGTAACAGCTATGTGTAGGATGCTGAAAATATCTTTTCTCGCTCTCCTGGCTAAAACAAAGACTAAAATGTTTCTCACAGGAACCTAACTCTTCATGCATTTTTCCCTCAAGGAGAAAAGAGTATTTATAAAAGATCAGAAAGGAACAGAGTTTTTATCTACTAGAAAGAACAGTTTTTTCTTTGGGTAAATGCTATTTACGTTTTCCTCTCCCTATTCTCTTAAGATAAATGAAGGTGGTGATGAAGAATCTGAAAATGCTGTTAAAGAACTCCGCCCTGGTAAACTCAGACTCAGTTTTGAGGAAATAGAAAGACAGAGGAGAGAAGAGGAAAAGAGGAAAGCAGAGGAGGATGCACGACGACGCATAGAAGAGGAGAAAAGAGCGTTTGCTGAGGCAAGGAAGAACATGGTATGGTATTTTGATTTAGCATAGAGATTAATTTTTACTAAATCTCAACCTGGAAGGAAACTCTGGAAAAAATCTTTAAATAGTTAGGATACATGCTTCAACTCTTTCATCAATCAGTTCACCTCACTATTTATTAGAAGGTAATGGGGTAAACTAGTCAAGTTTCATTTACCAAAATTCATCAGAGAACAATCGCTCCTCACAGCCAGCCTAGAGAGGATTTCAGATAATTTAGTCAAAACCAGGTATTATATCCAGTGGGTATTAATGGGCTAGGTGCAACATACTTGGGAAGCACAAGGAGGGTTTGTTGTTTTGGGTTTTTTTGGGAAGAGCAATATCTTTTACAGCTCCAAGTTTATTCCCCTACCTTTACACGGTGTCCACCAATCGTCTCTTACTACAAAAGCACAATTAATAGCATAGTAGAAAAATGCTCACTGCAAATATGAATATTCCAATAATCTGTGGCTCTTTAGGGAGAAAAAATTAACATGTTGAACTCAGATACTTGATGTTTTTAATGCTTGTTCAGAGAAAAACAAAAAATAACTTGTGGTGTTTACCATTAAAACATCTTGTAATACTATCTTGTCTCAACAAATGCAGATTTCTGTCATATGCAACGACTTGTAAAATTTGAGTAGGATTATACTGGAGACAAATTTTCAGGGGCTTAGGACTGACATAAACTACCTGAAAATGCAGAAAGACGCCTGATTTCAGAGGTTAGCAACTATTATTTCTATTAAAAAAAATAAAAAAAGATAAAAAAGAAAAAGAGCGGCCACAGAGCTTTTAACTGTGGTCTTCATACTTACTCCAACCACTTCAAGACTCTGCAGGCTTTTGGTATAAGCCAGTTACTTATTGGTGGATATCAGGAAACATAGCATTGAATTACACAGATATAAACTAGAATGAAATAGTGTTTGTTCAAAAAGGGAGGGCAGGACCTGCCAGTCTATAAGTGTGGAATAACTCAGGCATCTGGTAGCATCTTCCTACATCCTCTGTGGCTGAACTGGGAATTACCAACTGTGTGCCCCATAACCTTTTCTTGATCACTCAAAGCAATACTTGGGAGAGAAACGAAAATTTTGTATGAATACTGATACTGCTGGCAGGGCTCCCTCTGCCTGGAAGTTGGGCCAAAGACAAGTCTTGTGCTGAAAAACTACCTAGAAAAGCTACAATTTATATTTTATATTGTACTGAAAAATAGTGTCTGTCTGAATCTCCAAAGAAAGAAAACAGAACCTAATGCAAATTAAAAATAACCTCAAACCAACAGAAGAATACTACTGGAGATTTCTGCCATCACAGTTCTATGAAAAGGCAGTAGAGAACTGAAGAAAGCACAGAAAGTATGTGCTGCTTCTGTTTTTTCCTGCTTTCTTGAGAAACTTTTTTTGGGCTCAGTGTAGCAAGAACCTAAACTCAAGTATCCAGGCAAGAAAAATGTCACTGACAAACACGGTTTAACCCATCAGATGCAGCACAGAGGCTGTGACTGCTCTACTTGCAGACAGTGGAAGTGGTCTGTAATTAAAAAATTTACTGAAATCTATTTTCAGCATTTATGTACTTAAAAGTTTTCTGTTAAGCAGCATCCTGAATACAAATACTACATTTTCTACTACTTGCAACAGAATAGAACCCTCTTTTTTCCTTATTTCCCATGGCTACAAAATGTAGCAGCAATGAAGACGTCCTAAAATGCTTAAAAATAAAATAGTCCTCTCTTACAAAAGCAGTAAAAATGAGCATTAAACTGTTATTCCGGGAACTTTTTAATGTTCATTCATTTTAATTTAGTTTTGGAAGTATGCACATGCAGAAATGGTAGTATTGTGGCTGGAAAACACAAATGCCACCTCCTTTTGGATGTCCCTATTTCATATTTGCTCATGCTACTTCCATGCTCCCCAGCGTCAGTGAGATCATATTTACATGGAAGCAGTTGTCTTTCACCCCCATCAATCTTTTTCTAGTACAGACTGCAAAAACACCTGTCTTAGCACAAATAAACAAAAAAAAAAATTTCCCTGTTTGCCCTCTGAATATTTGTTGACCGTGCTGCAAACCATGATTGTTACAGGAATGTTTCTCACTACCATTTCCACTTCGCAGAAATAAAAAAAAAAAGGATGGCCTAATTTCACAAAATATGGCTAAAATATTTATTGAACTAACCACAGGGGTTTTGTACATCACACAACTCAGCTAAATCTTTGTGGTTTTTAACCAGGGAAAAGGTGGCTCATTGTCTTTTCGTAACATAGTAAGTCAGAAATAGAGAAACAGCTGTTAGTGCTTGCTCACATGCACAGCTTTTGAACTCCAGTGGGCAAATCCTGAATTGATGCTTCTTGTGGTCACTTAGGTTCAGTATCTTCTTGAAGTGATGAGCTTATAAACTAATGCATCACCAGCAAGAGACTTTCATGTTTCTTTGCTAATTAGTTATGGGCAGCCTCTAAAAACTACAGGGCATCGCTTCCACTACAGGAAAGAGTCCACAGCTTTGGTTTTTGACTTCACTTCTCTGTAACACAATTTCAACAAATATGCTCATATTACACAAAACAAATGAAGAATGGAGGGAATGGTGCTGAAGTCCAGCTCTAAGCTTAGAGGGAATATCTGAGTAAAACCTGTAGTTAATAGCAGAATCTGAGTGGGATTGGGCTAAAAAACTACTGAAAAAGCTGTGGCAAATAAAGAGGATATGGGCAAAGTAGGTCAAAAAGATGGTGTGAACCAAGATAACACCGACACAGAGAAAGGTGTGGGTTACAATGGCAGTAAGCAGCAATAAATAGAAGTAGTACCAAAGGTTCTTACAAGAAATGTCTTTTCTGTCACTTTATAGTCAGAGCATCTTCTCAAATGGCAATGTTGCTCCTTTAATAATTTCTATCATTTGACTGATTACTGCTGTTGTGAATGCCTATAACTTAGGGCACATTGCGCTCTCATGTTTGCCACAAGGCCTCTAAAGCCTGTGATGATCAAACCGTGCCAAAAGCCATATCATCCCCAGTTCAGTACCTGATCAGTGCCTGGCCTCACCTCACCTTTACCTACAGAACACTCCTGTTGAGACAATCTCTGTTCATAAGTTTATATAGTTACATGCACAAACATATATTCATGTCAGTTGAAGCTTACATTAAAATTCCTGCATAACTCCCTGTCACTGCTGGCTGCTTTTGTAGCATTCAGCTTCGTATTTTAGTGCTTCACCACATTCAGTCTGGTAAAGTATTAGTTCTTGCACTTCTTGCTTTGGAAGTAATGAAAAGTGCCTTTCCTAGGCCCTACTATCTTACGAATTAGTCTAAAAGACAGGCCAGCTGCTCCTAATGCCAACCAAGCCTAACCCTACTCTGAAGCCAGACAAGGACAGGGAAAGGAGGAAACCCTTGCTGGTGGGTGTATAAACCAATAAACTGGCCACATAACAGCATAAACAATTTCTGCACAAAGAAGAGCTGCTTCTGAATGTTCTGTTCAGTTTCCTTACTGGGAATACTGATACTGCTTTAGAACATGAATAAAATTCAGATTGCTTAAGAAAAAGATTACAGATAAATGTACTTCAGCGTCAAGAGCAATGACATTTAAACACAAACACTTTGTCTGAAGTAATCAAGAATGAATTGCTTCAGGTCCTAAAGGTGCATTTAGAGGGCATCCTCCCCCGCAGAGGGAAAATACTGCATTTTGAAAAAAACACCTAATCTTCATTATAAAAGTTTAGTGCTATAACAAAAGTCAAACAAAATCCCCCAAACCACTCCCTCCCACACCATTAGAGGAATACCCACATTGGCACAGAGCACCTTTCTGTGCTGGGGCAGATGTGACAAAATAGTCACTTATCTTTATGTACCAGAAGTGTCTGAACAATGCTGTGATTTCATCACAGATATAATTAATGCTCTGAATTTCCAGCAGGTGCTGGATGATGAATCACCAGAAATGTTTAAAACCTTTTCTCAAGAATCTCTCATACCTGGTAAACTGGAAATTAATTTTGAGGAGTTGCTGAGACAAAAAATGGAAGAAGAAAAGAGGCGCACAGAAGAAGAGCGAAGGCAAAAGTTGGAAATGGAAAGGCAAGAATTTCAACAGCTGAGACAAGAAATGGGAGAGGTTTGTACATCAAACTGTATGTTAAGCATGCTCTGAATAAAAATATCACTTCATTACTAAAATCTCGAAGTTTAAGACTGCAAAGAAAAATGCCTTTGAGAGAAATTTTAAGTTAATACATTCAACATTATGTGAAAGAAAAATAGAAAACCGTATTTTTTAAAACATTGTATAGAATGACATTTTTATCACTATCTACCAGGAAAATGTGTTTATCCCTTGCTACCTCAGAAGTACAGTTACAAATCTGTAATGTGGTTTTGCAGTAATTTCTGAAAATTCTGTACTATTATTAAAGTGATTAGATAATATTTATACTGTGAGAACAGAAATAGCTAGTTCCCAAAAGACAATACAAAAACCGAAGTAGGAAAGGGTAAAATTCTTGCTTTTCCTCACAGAAATACTGTGCTACCTAATGTGAAAAATACAGTGGGCTCAACTTTTTTCTAACTGGTGTATCAAGAGTTTGAAGACTGTCACAGTTGATTTTAAAAATCACACAAAAAAATCTACTTTACATTCCAATGTAATCCCATACATCACATCAGGAATGAAATGTTTAAAACATCACATTCATCAACTTCACACTTCAGTTTAGCTGTCGGTGGCAATTCTTTATTATTCCCTTTTGAATGTTAGAGAATGACATTCATTTATTATTGTTTTTGTTGCAAAGCTCGAGCAAGTAGTAAAGGCATTAGCTTATGATGTTCTCAGCTAATCCTGGGGAAGCAGCGAGAGACAAGGACACCCAGCTAAAATGCATGTACACCTTTACCATGTCAGTTTATAAAAGGAGGGAGGAAAAATACCAGTAATTACAGCTTCAGATGTTGTTTGACTACAGGATCCACAACTGCCCTTTCTTTTCCAGCACAACATCCTGAAATGCCATTTACTTTTTACTGAATTTTAAAAATATAAAAAAGAGTGGGTTTTTGTTTGTTTTTTTTAAAACAAATCAGCTGTATTTTAGAGGATTATTTAATATCAAATTGCAAGTAAGTAGAGCTGAATTTTGGACTCTGGATTAGTAAGTTTTTTGTACTGGTCTGTGTCTGGCTTTCCAAATCCATGAAGGGCAGTTAATCCTTGAAAAAATGGCATATTCAAGCAAGGTTATTTTAAAATCTGTATTTACTTGAGATATGATACAAACACATTCATCATGAGAGAGCAAGGAAAAAAAATACAGGAGAAAGGTCTCTACTGATTTCAAGTAACTAATGTAACTGTAATGTATTGAATTATACCATCTGGGGGGGAGAATGGGTAGTAGAAATAATGAAGGCATTTTCCATCTTATACATTCTGTAATTTCTGAACAGCTGGAAGAAGAGTCTGAAACTTTTGAGTTAAGCAAAGAGTATGAAGAATTGATGAAGCTAAAAAGAAGTGGTTCTATTCAGGCAAAGAATTTAAAAAGCAAGTTTGAAAAAATAGGACAACTGTCTCAAGAAGAAATACAGAAGAAGATTGAAGAAGAGCGAGCAAAGAGAAGAGCAATGGATGAAGAAATAAGAGAAAGGGAAGCTGAAAAATTTCAAGAGGTAAGTTGCATTGTGTTAATTCTGTATGTTAATGATCTACTTAACCAGGAGTGGACAATGCTGATGCTTTCATCAAATTTTGCTGTTTCCAAAATGATGTTTTCCCTTCTTTCCCATTCCGTCCTTTGGATGCTTAAGGATATCACACCTCAGCATCCCTTACAGAAACAGCACCACTTTATTATCAGTGATTTGGTCAAGCAGAGTTCTGCTTTTCTGCTCAAAGCCCTACAATTCAACATTTTAACCTGAAACCTGCCCATCAGAGGGCTTAAAACATCCTTATCTGAGAATTATCTATTACTCATCTGCTTCTCCACTCAAACAATACCATTTGAAGATCAAGTCTCTGTCACATATACTCACTCCGGGCAGAGCAGAAGAGGGTGCCTACTTATCTATACACTTCAGACCAGAACCTTCGGTTTTTCAGAGGGGAAACCCCAGTAAATGGAAATATCAGTGTAGCCCATTGACAAAGTGGTCTGTAATCCATAAGCTCAATGAGAACTTTTGTGACAAAATGTAAAATTTTAACAGTACTAAGCCTGATCTGAGTCTCATTCTGGCTCTTCTCCACAGGAGTCACTTTGGCATCAGCTCAAAGCCTGTCCTACCTGTGAGCTTTTAATGTAATGATTGACACTCGTTGTTTCCGTAAGGGCAACCATTTTAGGTGTTGAACCCATGCTAACATCATGCATGGCATAACAACTCCGAAAACTGAGGATATACAACTGCCAAGAAGTGCTCAACTTCTATATGAATAAAACTATAGGAGTACTTTTTTACCTATCATTTTTGAAAGTACATTTGCAAAAATCTTGTCCTATCTCTGGGATGAACTATTACGAGATTTATCCTGAACTGAAACAAGCCTCTGGAAAAAAACCAGGTCTCTATGTGGCCTCTGGGAAAACAAAACTAGTTTTACTATCATATATATGTGTAAGGCAATCATAAGAGTTAAGCCCTGTTTTTAATTATTATTTTCCAAGGATGATGACGTAGATGTGACACCAGCCAAGAAATCCGAGGCTCCATTTACTCACAAAGTAAACATGAAGGCTCGTTTTGAGCAAATGGCAAGAGCCAGAGAAGAAGAGGAGCAGAGGAGGATTGAGGAACAGAAATTACTACGTATGCAGTTTGAACAAAAAGAAATTGATGCAGCATTACAGAAGGTATAAATTGCAAAATAATATTCTCCAGTTGTGTCATTTAACTTAGCTTCTAATTACTACTGTAGGCAACACTACCAGCAAGTACTAAGCATTGCTGCAATAATATGTAATTGCTTTTGGTGTTTGCACATATTCTCCATGGAATTAAAGAATGGTTTGGGTTGAAGGGACGTTAAAGATCATCTAGTTCTGACTCCCCCGATTTAGGCAGCGACACCTCCCATTAGATCAGGCTGCTCAAAGCTCCATCCGACCTAGCCTGAACACTACAAGCGTACAAGACACTGCGAAGAGAGGTGATGACATCCCGTGAATAGTCTGAAAATGGAATTGACACTCATGCCTGTATTTTATACCAACATTCCAGCCTCATTAAAATGCACTTTACTGCCTGTGGCATATCCAGATTGGGTGCATTGTTATGTACTGAGGACAGATGTGGAATTTCCCCTTCTGAGAAACACACTAACTTGTAAACAAACATATCACTAACAGTCATAGTGCTATTGACACTTTAAATGTTTTAAATCAACTTATTTTAAAACAGAAAAGGGAAGAGGAAGAAGAAGAAGAGGGAAGCATTATTAATGGTTCTACTTGTGAAGATGAGGATCAAGCTCGATCAGGAGCTCCCTGGTTCAAGAAGCCACTGAAAAACACATCAGTTGTTGATGGCGAGCCAGTAAGATTTACAGTTAAAATTACTGGAGAACCAAAACCTGAAGTTACATGGTGGTTTGAAGGGGAGATGTTGCAGGACTCTGAGGACTATCAATATATTGAAAGAGGAGAAACCTACTGCCTTTACTTGCCAGAAACCTTCCCAGAAGATGAAGGGGAATATATGTGTAAAGCAGTGAACAACAGAGGCTCAGCTGCTAGCACCTGTATTCTCACAATTGAAAGTAAGAGCTAGCATTTTAATTTGCTTAAATCTCAGATAGTCTTCTTGCATCTTTCCTGTTATGAAAATCTAACTTCTCTCTCTTAACCCTTTTTCTGTTTTCTAGCTGATGACTACTAATGCTCTACTTTAGCTGGAATCTTTCTTCCCCTCAACTTTCTTACTGCATCATCTCTTTCTCTGATGGGGCCAACTAAAGAAAGCAAGGATGTGCATTAATTTGTCATTCCTGCATCAGATAAGAATATACCCTTCAAATTGTGAGAATTCCCTACTCAAAAACCAGTATCAAAGGCTAAGAATTAAAATCAATGTATGAAAGATCAACTAAAGGAAAAAGCTGAATTATCATAGTGCTCCAGCATTTGAAGACCAACTCTTATGTAACAGAATAAAGCTGAATACACGATCTGGAAATGTGTGTAGTAGTGTAACTCTATTGGTGTATCTTGCACGAGCACTGAATATTTAAGCTGTTTTACTTTATCCCAGAGGCACTGAACTGGCAAAGGAAATACTTACTGATGATTTTCAAAAACCCAAGTGTACTATTTTTAAAGAATAAAAGATGACGCAACTGCTCACCATTGTTTCAAGGAGGATAACTTCTTTTGTTTAAAAATGGGCTTACATTGCAAATGTTCTGCTCTAATCAACCTATGCAGCTGACAATCTCAAATAAAAGCAACCTCCTTTAGGTTTGTAGTAGTCTTCAAAGTACCAACAATTGTTTGTAAAACTTGTGATTTTTTTCATATTAAATAACAGAAGCAGGTGGTGACATGTACGATTGGCTCATATTTAAAGCTGGTAAAAAACAAGCTTTAAAAATATTTTCATAAAGTGCCTATTTTCTCAATCCTAATGCAGTAAGTTTATTGCCACATCTCTAAACATTGTTTTCTTAAGGCTACTGTACTATTTTTCTCTAAGACCTCCTGACATCAACATTCATTTCACTCTGCTAACATGCATTTGAACCGTTCAGATTACACTTCTGGAGGAGTAACTTTACAAAAAAATGTCACATTTTAAATTACTTGTGTATAGGCCTTGACATACAGGCAAGGTAAGCCGCAGGAAATTAAACTTACGTGGTCATTTTAAAAAGGAATTTTCCTGTGGCTGAATCTGCTTTCTTTGTACAGTTATCTACAGCAAGTCACTCTTTGGCCTCATTAAGAAATGGTAAGGAGCTGCATGGTGTTTTGACTTAGTATTTACCCTAATAGCCACATAAACATTTCACTTCATTTTTTGTAGGTGATGTTCACACAAGTACAGGCTACTACACTAGTTTTGCTCTGAAGCTGTTATTTCAAACTAACAAAGGCAGGGATAGGAGCATAAAAAAGACAAAAACATTGCTATTATTATTCGTCAGTTTACATTTATTGAGAAAAACCATACAAAAACCATTATACAGTTAATGTGTACCCATATTACATACAGTATCAATGCAAGCTCAAAACCACATTTTTGTAAAGCATTCAATTTACCTCAAGTCCAAGCTGCATCTCCCTAAGACACTGTTCCCATCACAGTTGCCTTTTAAAGCCAATCTTCTGTTTACACACGGGTAGTTTCTGCAGAGAACACTTTTCTCAGGACGAAAAGGCATTTCACATGCACGCAAGAGAAATATTTGTGCATACACAAGAATTTCATATGCTATTACTAAGGCAGAGGGAATCCTGTCAATTGTATGCTTTCTGAAAAGCCCAGTCCTCCCTTCCTCCCCCCACTTCCAGGATAAAAAGCAAAATGGAAAAGCTTTTAGCATGCAATGGAGAACTTAAGAATTACTTTGGAAAAGAATAGGGGAGAAACAGTTTCTACCATTCAATAAAATACCACTAGTGTAAAGATGAAATACTTCAAGATAGACTGCAAGTGAATCGTGATCCTGTCTGCCTGGACAAGTGAAACAGATGGCTTATACTTAAGCTACACTGAAGAGTATCCACCTGGTATTTTATTGCACGTCCTAATAGAGTATAGGCTGCAGAAAGTGACATGAAAATGCTTTTCCTACTTGGAACATTATGCTTCCTTTTTAAACTTTTCTTACTCTTCACATGCATTGTGGGACATTAAGCGGTGAGGGTGGGGTAAGCAGGAAACATTTCAAGACACTTTTTGGACAAGTTCACTGCATTTCTAAGGAAGTCCAGTTATCTTTTTGGCTACTGGTAACTCCAATAATCTACTGTTGTCCCAGGAACTCAGAGTTTGGAGAAAGAGTTGAAGAAGAAACACTATGCTCTGCACAAACCAGCATGCCTGTAAGCCCTGCAGTGAGAAAGCTGGAAGCCAATACACCTCAAATGCTACACACAAGAACATCTCACCTTCTACACACTAGCAACATCCCAATATACTGGCTTTTTCTTCTCTATCCCCTTCCACAGGCTAAATTAACAATTGAAAGACTGTTCAAGATATTTTAGGAGTAACAGTTGAAGGAAAAAGTACCATGTAAAAAGGAAGTGAACAAATGACTCACCCCCACACTAAATCCACAGTATCAAAATCCAAATGGTACACACCTACCCTCTTCTCACGTCAAAAATGAAGTTACATGTTAAGCTACAGATGAAATACTAAGTGGCTTGAGAAACTGAAGCAAAATAGCTTGACTGTTTAGAAGAATATATAGTAAAACAGATGGTTTATATTATTAAATCACAGTTTAAAAAACTTAACAGATTATGGAACATTTATGGTCAAACAAAGAATACTTTAAAGAATGAAAAGTGATCAAAACAAAAATTATACCCTACATCATTATGTATGGGATACATTTCAAATCTGTTATGCTTTTGCCAATTTTACCTTCTACATGGAGCCCTTCTATGGTCCATGCTCATCGGCTCACCAATGGCATACACTCAAAGGATTCCTCTTTACTGGTAGTAACTATCTCAGGACCTGATTCTATGAGCTATGATTTGGTGCTTGCAGCATCTTCAGCACTGTGTGTGAAAATGAAGGCAGTATTTTTGAATATTTTTCTTTGATGTACAGATAAGCAGGACTTTTGAAAGAGGAGCAGCACATTTTAGAAACAGAATAATGAACAAAAAAACAAATAGATGCTGCTTTATGTTAAGCTAAAAAAAACCAACAACAAAAGCTCAGAACAAAAACCTGTACCAGACCATCTGTAAGACATTTAACATTTTATACTATCAAAATATTCAGCAATTCAGTTAAAAGTATCAAGAAACAGGATACACTGACTGCTATAGCGATAAATTATTTGCCATACTGTTAAGATTTAACTGGTGCTCATGCTTTTTCAGTTAAAACATACTCATCTCAAACTCGAAAATCTCTTTTCCTATCATGTCAAATATGAATAAGCAAACTAAGTTATCTAAAGATTCCACTAACACACTGTAACTGTAAGACAAGTTATCAAGTTCAGTGATAACAACAAGAAGTCATTCTTTACATTTAGGTCTTAGCGATTAAGTGGGAATAGTGCCCTATTATAAAAAAAACATTTGTGAAGGCTGTTGACATTTCTAACCAAAGCAATTCCTGCATATTTTAAAAGTTTTGATTCTTTAATTGCAACAATTATCTATTTAAAGTAAAATAACAAAAGTTACTTATTCTGATCAAGTTTAATTACTGCAATCTAATAATCTTTTCTTAAAAAAAAAAAGAAAAAAATACATATTGACCTAGAAATATAAACAGTTGTTTAAAAACTTAAGATTTTCCACTCAGATGGAACCGTGAGAAACAATGCATTTGGGGAAGCAGCAGATTGCTTTTCAATACACAACCACAAAGATCTCACAGGGACAACATTAATGTACTGAAATATATTAATTTATATACTTCCTTAGGTTGTGCTTACCTGTTGCTTTTTTGCAGCAGAACCTAAGGTGGAAGGTCTGGGAAGGCACTGTGAAGTATAAATAATTGCACTGTTTGCAATTAATAAAGATTTTATACCTTAAATGAATCAAAATCAACAGCCTCCATTTTGTGAATGATAAAGAATCCAGTGAATTTAATTTTGCTCAGTTTAGTACATAATAAATGCACCATTCTGTAAGGTTATCTACAAAATACCATGCAAAATACCTGAACTATTAAACTTAATACCCTACACTAAAGATAGCAAATACTGTCCTAGCCTTCTTCAAGCTACCAGCATAATTCCTAGTTTTAAAAGGGATAAAAATAATTCCTCCTATTTCTACAGCACAATACATACATTGCTGATTACCTGAAAAAACTACTTCAGTTTTCAAGCCTTAACTTTTACTTCTCTGTGCAGCCACCCTAAAAAAATTTATTCTCAAAGCAACATGGTGTTCCAAAAATTAAAGCAATTAACAGTTATAGAATTATTTAAAACATACCTACATCACTACATATCCGCAAACTATCTGAAGACAAAGACAACTCTGTCTAACAAGTGGTTCCAAAGACTTCAATGTTATGATATGCATACTTTAAAACACTGAATGACAACTGTGTCAGGAGTACTGATGAAAAAAAACTCTTACTCAGATACACAGAAACATGATTTTCTTTAGCTATTGCTGAAAGTTTCAGGAATACTTACCCACAAAACTCAAATTATGTGTATGTATATATATAAGCAAACCTACGTTTCCAAATTAAGAAGCAATTATGATTTCCTAAGATACCAGCACTGTATTCCAACATAATATCACACAAGTACAGCATTTGCATTATGTGGAACATTGACAAAAAGATACTGTTGCAGTTCATCAATTTGTCATTCTGATGTACTTACAGTGCAATGCTCCTTGAAGGAACAATCAAGGATGATACACAGCACAGTCCTCCTCACCCCTATAGAGCTAGTTCTATACTGGCTGGATCAAACCTGCACTTCAACAGACAATGGCAAGACAGACTGTAGTGCATGTAGTCTAATATATGCAAAGAGCCAATAAATATGCAAAGAGCAAACATAGGATTTCAAGAGAATCAGCTTTTTAGTATGAGCATTAGAGCAATAAGAACTTTCAAGTATATATAAAAAAATAATCAGTTGATTCAAATACTTGAATATTTACAAAAAGAGAAGTTATCTGCTCTGCAGGAAGTTCTCAACCACTCCCACCACTCAAACAAAACAGCGCTTTAACTACTATGCATTACCACATTGAATTTTCTACACTGAATTTTGAAGTGGACTACTTTAAACTGAAGGCTTAAGCACATTACACTTAAGTAAGTTTTATAACTAGTTTGAAAAAATCCATAAAATAGTTATGCATGAACAGTTTTGAAGTATTCAATTAAAAACAAAAGTTATCTGTTATAGCAGCTGCACAGGTCTGAAACAGTGGTCATGTATAAAAGGAAATTTCACTGTTAATGCAATGGAAGTATGCCAAAAGATCATCTTCTTAAACACATGCAGTTTTAATCAAGTAGAAAGAAAATTAAGGTATCAAGATTCCTGGTGCTAGGCAGCAAAATACAATGAATGAAAGAGATCCTCCATCTACAGCTATTCTGCAAGAGGGGAAAAACATGCTAACGACAAGTTTTTAAACTCAACAAGGTTTATGGGGGGGGGAAAAAAACCCAACTCATTTGTGTACAGGTACCTTGATTCAGCGTTGCAAATCAATCCTACAATTAATTCTGCATATACCCACATATCCAACTTACCGACACAGGAGGTTTCATATTATTTATTGTAAAGCACAAAACAGGCATTTTAAAAGTGATAAAGTATACATTGAAAAAGTACATTTATATCACAAAGCATTGACCACATAATTGCAAATACATTTGCTGGAATGTGTACATCTACACTAATACTAAAAAACAAACCATTTTTTTCATTTCTACACAGAAATATTACCTCCTATCAGTAGTGATAGATATTTTGTACATTTTCAAAAACACTATTTTTTTAACCAAAATTAAGATCTTCATCAAGGCGTCTGCATCCATACATTTAACAAAGGTTTTTTCCCCCACACAATGAAGCAAATACTGTATTGTCCACTTCTTATTATTGGCCCTGTGCAGAAGAGATACATAAGAGATACACAAAAAGTTAAAGAAAATCCTTTAAATCGAGCTAACTCAGGAGTGAAGCCTTTAAGAAAGAAAAATTGGTTAATGTAAATGGTGGTGGCTTCTTGCATGGTTTTCAAAACCCTGGGAGGAGAAAGTTTCTTTTTCTTCTTTTTTAAAAAAAACAATCACCAAACATGGATAGATACAAAACTCAAGTTATCAGGTAAACAAAGTCATCTAATAATTATTCCAATAGCTATTTTGCTAGAAAAAAAGATGCATACCCCAAAGGAACAAAGCAGGAGACATGCAAAAAAAAAAAAAAAAAAAAATCTACAACCACTGAGACGGAAGCCAGCCAAAAACCACTTTAAGACTGTACCTGTGGTGCTGGAGGATGCTGTGGCATTCCCTGTGGACTTGTCTGAGCGTAGTACGCTGCCTGCTGCCTGTAGTACTCAGCCCACGCTGCACTGTAATCTGGCTGACCGCCTGGAGGAGCCCCAGCAGGGGCAGGAACAGCTTGACCTGCAAGGAATTACAATTACACAGCTTTGTTGTTGCAATAGAAATGAGAACATTTCAATATCTCAGCACCAAACAAACATCACCTGGCAATATTCCTCCAAGGATTTTGAATAAACTTGTGGCTGCTTCTTTCAGCCTAAACACTCATCCTATTATTTCAATGGAATGATTCCCATGTAAATCAAAATAGAGGAACCGTAAGGACAGTTTTCTTTGCCTCTTGATTCATAATCATGAATCATGTTTAAGGCCTGCTGGCCTGAACAACAGTAGCATTTAAATACACGCCAAGAGGCAAAACTTTTTGTAATCCACCTAGACTAATTTCATTTTATTTTACAGACTACATACATTAGCTCAGCAGATGCAAATTCATACACTTCCCCAGTTCTGGCATCCTTCGTTCAATTACAAGGTTATTGCAGGTTACATTTTTCAAAAAGTGTGTGATTTTTGTAAACATTTCCAAAATGTAAATGTTTACATTTACCACAGAACACAGTCCCAAAACTTGCTTCCATGCCTTGTGGAAGTTCCAATCCTCTGGAAACAAGAGATGTACAAATACACTTTCCCAGACAGCTCAGCATTACTCCTCCTTTCAATAGAATCAACTGACAGACTAAAATCCCAAACAGCGACAGACTGATTGATACACGAAGACTCTTCAGCATATTAAAAAACCAAGCAAAACAATCAAAGAAAATTACAGTCAACCTTTCAGTTGTGCTGTTCTTCCACAGGAGAACTGTCATGGACATCCTTAACTTCCTTTTCCCCCCAACTTCAGAAACGCCAAACACATCCCTCTTAGTACCACTGATCTTGACAATTTCTGAGGGTGTTTGCAGTTACCATTACAAAATGTAGAGACTCTAAGCAAAGCAACACTCTGTATGCTCTAAACATCTGTCCACACACACTTGCAGGCACTCAGACAGAAGGGTTTTTACACGTAGTGCTTCATTTGAAGTTTCCTTAACTTCCAAACCAGAACTTTTATTTCTGTGCTATGACACTTCTGATTTACATTCTTAATGGGTTATTTTTCAAATCAAAAGTTTTACAGTCAGAATTAGGATACTACCAGAATTCACTACCTCTGCAAGTTTTTTCCTAAGATACTAGGGAAAAAAACCCCTAACCCCACAAAAACAAACCACCATATCACGTCACCCTACAGGAAATAAACCCAAGCCAAATGCAAGTCTGCAGCCTGTACAATTCCGTGTGCACCCAACTGTCTATTCTGCTATGAACAGAAAGCAGCAGCTTCCACATGATGAGGGCTGAAAGTTTTCAATCCTACCTGAAACCACCTCACTTTTTATTTGAATACAAGGCCACTGAGCAACTTCATGAGGAACGTGAGTATCAACAATTCTAACGAAGTGTTCCCTAGGGTATCAGACAGAAAGCTGGCTTTATTTGTTTAAAAATACTTCAACAAAGAGAATTCATATGCAGAATCCCAGCTATTCACACTACTCCTACGCATGTGTAGTCTTCTAATCCTCTCAAAAACGTGTAGTGTGAGCAGAGAATGTGAGTATTTGGCAAAGCACTATCCTGAAAACCATCAAAACATAACCTTCCATTTTCAACTTAGTTTTTCCACTTTTATTCTGGTTTCTACAGTAACAGAATTTCCAGAAAATCTTAAATTTCTTAAAATCTTTAGAGCTGTTATCACATTTCACAACTTGTAATGTGCCACAACTTACAATTGACACCTCTGATAAATTATTTTAACACAAAACTACCTTTAATATGGTTACATATTATCCCAAGATACACTCTTCCCAAGTTCACCATTACTTTGAGGTAATAACTGTACTTACAAATTACTGTCACCACAACTGACTACCAAAGATAAGAGATTTTTTGTGCATTAAGACCCAAGAATCTTTGGACATTCTGCTAACTATGCCAAGGCAGCACAGAAATTCGAATAATAAATCAAATAAAGGAAATTTAACATCTATTCAAAGATGGCAAACTGCACTTCTGTCCTGATTGGTATTTTAGGTGCACCACTTCCCTACTAAGTACTGCAAGTAGTTCTGAACCTACACATGGAATTCAGCTGCTTAGTCAAAGCTTCCTTTCAGTGTAGAAACTGCACTAAGCAGCACCTGCTCGTTAATAGCCAAATTCAAAGGGAAGAGTTATGGATAACCCTGATCAACCCCATACAAAGGAAACAGGAGAAACAGAACACCTCCCCTTTAAGGAGGGCTGAGAAGGAAACACCAGCAGATTTTACAGTTCAACATTATCAAGGGTGATTCTAATAGAAGCGAACTGTTTTGTTTCTTCTTTCCCACTACAGTGCTGAAGAATATTTCAAAAACACTTCTATTTTAATCTGGAATCCTTTAACTGTACGTCAAGCGACAATATATGGGGAATGACTTTAAATGACGAATTTATAAATTCCAATAATGACATCTAGATCATTTACCAATGATCATGACTTCATGTTTGGTGAGAACCATTATCCATGAGACACTTTTTGGAGTATTTGCTACTCAAAGCAGTAGCCCCTGAAACAAGGGTTTGAAAAAGTAGACGCTGTGTTTCTGAGTTAGAAAACACATTAACATTCAAATCACTGTTCAGTGAAAAGCACAGCGAAGTGTTCTCTGTGATTAGCAGAGTCATATATATCACACCAGTAGGAAGCCATTTTGAAAACATTATTTTTTAGATGGGAATATTCTGGAGTGTTTTAGCATCTTCGGACCATTCATATTTGATTAAGTATGCGAAAATCCAGAACATCAATTGCAATATCACAGGCAACTTGTTGAGCTTGCCACAAGGATTATCAAAATAATTTTCTTCAGCAACAAAAATAGAACTGACTGAGCTCAACAAGTCAGAGTTTCAGTTCAGCTCTCCCCAGCAATGTTTGGTGAAATCATCTGTGCTGTGAAAAAATCTGAGTTGTCAAAGAGCAAGTGACTTGTAACTGCCATCCTTTAGCACAAATTAATGGGGACAGATTACAGCACTATAGAAAGCACAAATAGTACTGGAAAGCCACAAGAACATGCTGTTGGACAGCCTTCGTGTCCATCACACCTACTACTACTTCTTAACATTGCTAATGAAGATGGGAAAATCAGCACCATTTCGCATTATGTCAACTCCAGCTGAATTCCTCTTATCTAAGTAAGAGAAACGGTGTCTCCCACAGCAAGATCTGCAGCAAAAAGTTCTCATGATTTACAGTCAAGTTATACAGGTCCAGCCATCAAGAGCTCTCCTTCAGGTGAAGAACTCAATCTGAACTACAGAAAGGAATTAAAAGGAGAACTGCCCTCGTGTTTTTCCTCTTATTTGACTGTCTTGCTATTTTTTACATTTTGCATTTTAAGAGCAACTATTTTTATTTCCCATTGTACTTTTTTGGCTTACATTCCTCTTTGGAATTGCTCCCACGAACTCTATCCCAACACCTTATAACTAGCTAATATTTAATCTGAGCAAGTGCAAGACTAGTGCAACCCAGAATTTGCTTTCCAAGACACCAAATTAGAAAGACAGCAGAGTGCCTGCCAACAATCATTTTATTTTAAAAAAAGTGAAAGCCACCCACAAGTTTGTATTTCAGAATGTGAGCCAAACTAACAGAGACAGTAAACTGTAAAGAAACAGCTGAATGAACCAGGAAGAAGAAAAATGGGAAGGCCTATCATCTTAGAAATCACATGTTTGGGAGTTGTAATTTTCTTAGTCTGATATGCAGGTCTTGATAAATACTCATCATACATTTTCTGTAGAATTCATCACTTACACAGTGCCAAAATAAATAAAGATAGTTATGTCTTAGCAAATAATTATAAATACAGTGGAAGGCTGCTAAGAGGAATTAAGCATGTTATTATTAATCTTAAATCTGAGTGCTTTTAATATTCCATGAGAAAACTGACTGCACTTGGAAGATGGCAAAACAGCCACCAAACCCTCCCACGCAAACAAAGATCCATCCCAAACCAGATGCTGCTGTATGTCTGGTCAGAGATATCTGGGAAAGCACTGGCATTCCTAAGCCCACTGGTGCTCTGTGTCCAGCCCTGATCCATCACCTACAGTATTCATGGCAGGACACTATGAACAGAACATGACCGTGATTGAAAAGGTAATGACACCTTCTGCCAGGGCATAAAGCCACATACCTTATACCCAAAACAATGAAATAATCGAGTTAATCAGCACATTCGTTTCATTTTTATAAAAAAGGTACCAACAACATATAACCTGCAGTTTAAACACAGCTCTAGAGTGTTGCAAAGCAAATGCTATTTAAAAAAGAACCAGTGTAAATGAAAGCTAATTCTGATGCTTTAGTAACCTGGAACACAGAAAGCAAAGTACAAGAAAAAAAATTATATGTAATCTGAAGAGAATTGAGAAACAATTACCAAGTAAGAAAAACAGCTTCATAAAGTAGATCAAAGTCGAACTTCAAAACTTTGGAAATGTACTTTAAAATACTCAGATTTAAACATTTAAAAGATATTGTTTCCCAATAATCAAAGACATCTCATTAAGTTTGAAGTATTTTTGTAGAGCTGATTAGTAACCTGAGTTACTAATGCCTAAAAACAACACAAAATTCAAGTCTGTTTCTCAGCAGTATTTGGTTCAGAAGACACATGACTGTGCATTCCAATTTTTTTGGGATAAAACTCCCATCTCATCCAGCAAAATACCCAAGTCTCCTAAAACACTCCACTATGATTGTGGAACAGAAAAAAGAATAGAAAAGCCCCTGCACACTTACCCATTTTTTTGTAGTACTCCTCCCAGGCCTTGGTATAGTCAACCTGCCCTGCTGGTGCTGGATTTGGCTGATCTCCTGAATTACATTAAAATAGTTAAACTAAAATTACTGGGGTTTGTTTCACACATAATCCAAATAATGAACTGAAATTGTCAGTAACACTCCCACATGACATGACTCAAATCTGACGCCATAAACTTATGTGGTACAAGCTACCACAACTAGAAACTCCTAGTAAAAAAGATATGTTTTCAAGATTCAGGAAGTGCATACCAGGCAATACAAAATACCAGAATTCAAGTGGTAAGCCTCAGCCAGGCATAAATATTAAAATAATGCAACTAAATACTACAACTATGATTGTCTTAAACCCACTGGAAGTGATGCAACCATTTAAGCAAATTACAATCAACAGCTTGGCTCATTAAATTTTTATTTATGACTGCTCTATGTAGTCATTAAGTCAGCCCACATTGCAGCAAAATTCTCCTTGGAGTATATTCCAAGATAAATACATTACCCTTGTTACTGCTGAAATTAAGAAAAGCAATATTGAAATGAAGGCTATAAGCAATAGTTTTCCAAGAAATCTAGCTACTTAAAAAATAAATTTACCTAGGAGGACAACAATAAAAAAAATACACCTCCAGCAATGAGAAATGTGTCCATTTCACTCAGTATCTACCTTGTCCATTAGTTTGGGTTGTAGCTGGTCCACCAGGAGGGGCTGCAGGTGGTGGCTGTGCTTGCTGCTGATAATAGTGAGCATAATAAGCTGCCCACGCCGCTGAATTGGGATCTGTTCCTGGCTTACCTATGAAAACAGAACATAAGCATTTATAATAGTACTGCTATGAACAGAATGCTGTCCTCAATTAATCCTGTCCTAGGCATTCTTATTTCCCTTCAAGGAAAAAAATCTATCTAAACAAATTATCCATGTACATACTTCAAGTATTTTTTTCTTTCTAGCGTAAGCTTTTGATCAGGTTTCAGACCAATGTACTGTACAAAGTGAACTTTCATAGAGCTAGCGAGATAAAATAATTTTTGAACCTTTACTACTACAATGCCACTAATTAATCTTACATGTGATAAACAGTATTTTTCAAGTTCATTTAAACAGTCATCTTAATAAATGGTAGCAGCAATTAATTGTTCTAGCACCAAACAATTTCAGTGGTTTTACTTTTGTTAGAACCTCACGCTAATGACACTGGCACCGGTGGAGGAGGCATGCCAAATACATATTTCTGAAACAGAAGAATACAAGACTTACTAGGTATTTGCAATGCTTGTCAGTTAAACTTTAAGGTAACAGTAAAATAGAGAAACACACAGCATTTTAAGAACTTGAATCCCCATATATGGCTATTAAGCACCACTGTTTACTTACAGCTTTTTCGTATTAAAAAATAATGAAAACAGTTGCATCTATGTCCATGGTTCCTTATTTTTATCTACATCTAGGCCAATAATGCTGCTTCCTAGGGTTTTATTTCTGTTTCTCATATCTAGTCTTTAGGAATGGTTTATTCTTGCTGAATCAGAAATTCATTACATTACCAGATTGACAATCCACAATACCTGAAAATCTACTATTAGAGAACATAATGTTTTACACAACCAGCATCTACTTGCAAGCAGTATTTGCAGTCTTAAAGAATAACAGTATCTGCAAAGAAATGCAGCCAAGTGAGGAGAGAATTTCACAAAAGGACATGGACACAACTGATACTTTAGAGCAACTATACATGGGAATGGAAATACAATCCTCCCTGAACACAAAACAGGTAAGGCAGCGAGTAATGGAAGATGAAGAAATCCCCTGAAAAAGGCATTCAGGAAGAAACCCAGAACAATAAATTAATGCGAAATGAAATCCTGTGACAAAAGTCAGCTGTAACCACTTCAGATGCACACAGAAAAAAATGTTAACACACTACTTTCTGTTTGAAATTACACTGCTTCCATCAGCAATAGAACACATCCTATATTCTAAGATTACCTGCAAATATCAAATAAGCCATTGCTCAATTCCCTCCCTTCTTCTCCTTAGCACTTCTCTAGAGTAGAACACCACAGAGCTCGATTCATTAAATTTCTAGAGAAATCTGACTGCAGTAACTAGCTCCACTTTCATGTGATAAAGGCAAGCACAGTTCTGGAGAAAGCATCTCTGAAAAAAGTACTAAAATAACCCATTTGTTAAACTGGAATGAGCAACTAAGTGAAAACTGTAGAAAATTCATCCAAAGAAATGCAAGTCAAAAGAAACATCAACTTCAACTGCACATATGAGAACTTAGATTTTTAAGGGAAGTATTCATCAAAAAAAACAGTTACAGAATCATCAACATGACATCACAGGAGTCATTTGCCATTTTTTCTTACAAAGCCTTTATGTAGATAAATAATAAAAATAAAAAAGGTGGTGTGAAAAAGGCTGTAACATTTTAGCAGTGGTTTTCCATTAAATACTTTTGCTATGCTGAGACTAAGTCACTTTGAATCATTCTACTTCCAAATGATGTCAGCAGGCATTTTAAATATTGAACTGAATACATGCAGAGCTACCTTGTGCAGAAGTTTGGGAACTAAAACCAGCAACAGTTCTTTGCAAAGACATAATGTGATACATACACGGAGTCCCCTTCTCCACTAATGGAACCTATGTCAAGAACAGTGGCTATCAGACTGTGTCTGTCATTTATAACAAAAATAAAATTGAGATCTTTCGGCTCAAGTTCTGAGGAAACTCTTCCTCAAACAAATGAGGTACAACAGACTCAAGCATCTAGCCTTACCATGCCTTCTGTGGCTGATGTTCCATTTCCCCATATCCTCTAGTCCAACCAAAGGATGTAAACTTAGAGAAAAGCAGGATACTACAACTTTGGAAGTTGGAATTAAGTAAGAACTCCCAGTCTCGACAAAGATAAACAGAAATAGAAGAAACAGATTCTACAAAGATGGGTTTCAGAAGAAAATACAAAACTATTATAAGCAAAAGCTCAAAAAAACCAACCCCAGTTTTACTGTATTAACAGCAATTCACCAAGGTTTTAGCCCTCAAAAGGGACTCAACAAAATACATTGGTGTATCAGATTCTTAAAATAGAACAAAACCTAGAAACACCATAGCATTAACTGCAAAGACAAATCAGTAAACACTGTTTAAAACAAAATACAAAGTCATTTACTATTAAGAGAAAGAAGAGACATCCTTATTACAGAACTTTATGCAAAAACATCTATTTTAAGAAAACTGAATCGCACAAAATCAGTGAACCAAGACTTGCAAAAAGTATCATAAAGAGAGATGCAGTTATTAGTAACATTTGTAAAAAAGCATACTCCAACTGTAACAATTAAATTTCAACGTTTCACAAGTCACACACGGAAAGTGCAAAACATAAGTAAACTGACAATCAGTGAAAAAAAGCCGGAAGAACAGGAGCCTTTCAGCTTTATGAGTGTAACAGAAGTGAACTGTACAATGCATATACTTGCAAGGACAGAACGGATGTACTTGAAATATACCAACACTCTGGTACAGCTGTGCATTTCTTACCTGGGTCTGGTGGGTTTGGCGGCTGCCAGTGTGGATAAGCATTTCCCCATCCCTGTGGAGCATATGGAGCTGGAGGACCACTGTAAAAGATCAGGTTGTACACGCACAGTGAGAGGCGGTCCCAGGGTCACCTCACACAGAAGAAAGTCAGCTGAAGCAATACTTACTGAGGTGCAGGACCAGGAGGGCCTGGGTTATAAGGAGCTGGATTATATGGTCCCATGGGAGCACCAGGACCCGGCGGCCCAGGAGGCCCATGCGGGCCAGGAACAACACCATGGGGACCATGGGGAACAGGTGGACCCAATGGATTCACTGGACCCTGTAACAAGGGCAGCACAGAGATGGAAATTCACCTTTAAGTTCTCAATTTTTCAGCATTCTAAAAACATTTATCTGAACACTCAAAGAACATCTAAAAGGTTTGTCTGGTTATAAAGACAGTTCCCTGCAGAAAACAGGCTATTTAAAGTTTGATCAGGCTTAGAGATAGTTAAAGGCAGCTGTGGCAGTAATAGCAACTACAAAACTTCATTTATTTCAGTTTCTTCTTGAGGAAGTGAAGGATTTTACAAAAATCCCACACATTTTTCCACAAGTTGCACTAAACTCCCCACACTCTAACAAGACTATCAGTTTTAAAATAAATCAATACATCTAAATCTAACTAAATTTGCTTATAAGATCAGGCACAAAAGGCCTCCAGTAAATTTGATTACATGCAACACATGCAAACAAAAGTGAAGTGAAATTGAAGGCGTAAATTGCTCAGACTGAAAAACAAACCACACAATTTAGTACCACTGACATCTTTGAACTCCACCAATTTTTGCCAATTTGGTGTATATGAATTTTCAAGAACACACCATATGATGTTGAAGAGATAAACTGTTTCTATTTCAAGATTTTGTTGTAACACTTTAATTTAATCAGATAATAAATTGATAATAATGGTAATCTGGATTTAATCTGGGAAGTGAAATGAAAGAGAAATCTCCACAAGGGAGACTTACTTTCAGCTCTGTTTAGCTCTAATAATAAGCAAAAAAGCAGTTATCCACTCACTCCAATCTTTTCTTCTATAAGTTGTCGTGCATAATCTATTTGCTGGGGTGTTCCACGAATAGTAAACATCTTCATGTTTGGATCCGCATTAGGTGGAGGATTTCTCTGAAGTTCTATTCTAGCACCAGACTGTTGGCTTATACTTTTAATAGTTTCACCACCTACAATGCAATATAGCGTTTTTATGACGTGCATCAAAGCAAAAAGTATGGACTCACATCAGAAAGTCAATTGCATGAAAGTCGAAGACATGAAAAGGCACCTATTCTTATGAGCCGTTCAAGAACATTCTAACAATTCAAATAAGACCTCTTCATTGTAGTACAGAGCTTTAATGGCAATAAACTAGTAAAATAAATTATTTTCTTAGACTATAAAAATGTTACTCAGAAACAGCAGCAAAGAATTCCTACCATCTTGTCTGTATTTTTAATTTATGTCAACATTTAATATTAGACATTAATAACAACTGACACACATGGTTATCAGTAATTATAAACTTCAAACTCAACCTCCCTATAAAGGGGCAAATGATGAAGAAGCCCCAGAGAGCCTGACATGCTAGTTAAATCCACAACTTCTTGTAGTGCACCAAAGTCAGAAGGCTAAATTCCCTGAAGTGGCTCCTCCTCTTACAGGATCCAGGGAAATCATGTACCATTAGTATATACAAAGTCTTCAAAACAGGGGAAATTGAGCAATTAAAAAAATTTAAAAATAACAAAATGACAAAATATTCTGAGCTGGAAAGAACGCATAAGGATCATGCATTACAACTCTTAAGTAAGAGGCTCACACAGGGATTGAACATACAACCGTGGCACTATTAGCATCATGCTCATCACACATCTCTGTACCACGGCATTTGTCCAAACAGAAAAGCGGAGTGGTTTTCAAAATAACATAGAAATGTATATATATATATATAAGATACATTGCCTTTTCCAATGATTAATCCAGTTTTGCCAGTAGGGACAATAAAATTGAACTCTTGCAATCCACCAGGAGGCCCCATGTTCCAGTTGCCTTGGCCTCTACCCCTTCCTCGACCACCAGGTCCTGGTCCACCAGGGTTACCAGCCTAAAAAGAAGCAGCAACAAATGAGTGTGTTCCATAAAATTACTGCAAACAAATAATGCAAGCAGGTTACATGACATCTTTGTTAAGAAAAAAACTGATTCACTACTCCGACAATTTTGGTAGTTAAAGTGGTACCTTTTATGGAAGACCTAAACTACATTCTAAAAAATATTCTGTACAATTCTGCATATGAAAGATGCAGGAGGAAAGGATATAGAAGCAAGCAGAAAATTTCACATGTACAAAGATATAACTTTTGTCTGCCTTCTGTAAATGCAGCAGTGGGACTCATCTAACAATAAGCTTTTAACCATTGATTACAACCAAAAGTAAGAGCATATTAGCTATTAACACAAAACAGCAGCAGCAGCTTTGAAACCAGCCACATCAAGAAATGCCATGACTTTGAATCAGTACGGTCACTTGCAAAACTGTAACTGTAAAAGCAAACATTCATATTCCAGACCAAACTTTGAAGTAGATTCAAATGGCACAACTGAATTATTTTCTTTTGTTACACATACTTTTTGAAAACTTTGGGTCTTTCCCAAAGGTAGGCAGGAGATTTTAAACACTGAACAACATTACCCAACCTGAACACTGCGAAGAAGATCCGTAATAATTTCTGCAGCATGTTGACATCTGTCAGGAGGCCCTGTGATCTGGGCTATTCTATCTGGAGTTGTTCCATCATCTGGAATAAAAATGAACTAGTCCAGTATATGCAATTCAGTAAATTTACACTTAAGTCACAGAAACTTGTGAACATGTTACAAACCTGGCTTAAATTGGATCCTAACACCAGCATCATTCTGGATCTTTTTAATCATCTCTCCATTTCTTCCAATTACAATACCTACAGCAAATCGTGGTATTGGAACCTAAAAACAAAAACCAAAACTGAAGATGTTGATGACACCGATATTCCTAAAAAATTCACACAACGAAAGGGTTACAATTAGCTGGAATTGTAAACCAGGGCAAGACCAATGCCACTTCAGGCTTTTTCAAGGATGAACTTTTCAATATCAAGTCACAAGTCTAGCACACACTGGACTAAACCATTAAAAAGAAAGTGATCCTATACTTTAGAAATTTTCATAGTGGTAGCAATTCCCAGCAGATTTTGGGCTTCTCAGAATAAAAAAAAAAACCAAAACAATTTACAGTGTGTCTAAAATGCAGATTCTAGCAGATGAAGCTTTAAGCCTCTCCCCCATGAACAGTTAGTAGCTTGTGACTTGCATTAAGAGTGGGACTTAAATAATTTCTGTAAAGGCTGAAGTCCAATTTCAATAATGGTGTATGAAACATATACTTGGCCAGAAAATTTACTTGCTCATTTGATAAAAAACTCCAGCTATTTGAAATTGTTTATAACTGCTGGCAATGTAATTGTGCATGCTGCAGATCACCTACTATAGTAAATTCAGCAATGATCAAGTAATACTTACATACCACAACCACTTCTGAAATCTGGTGAAAAGCTTTCAGTAGTATTATGTAGCTTAACATTTTAAAGATAACATCTCAAAATACAGTGAACAAGTTTTTCAACCATGCTTACGTCTATCCCTTCATTTCCTCCTATTCTCGACCCATATTCGTTGCGCACCTCTCTAAAGCCACCTTGATCACGAATTAACTCCAGCACCATTTCCTTGGCTTGCTAAAAGAAGAATGAAAGTTCGTTTAGGTACTGCAACATCAGAATGGATTTGAAAATGCTCCGAGTTGTGAGGCACTCCTTACCTGAACTTTATAAGGATCTCCAGTTATCCTAAGGGGCTTGTCTGCACCAGTGTTCTGTGGACCATCTTGAATCATGACCATTTTGACACCTGCCCGCTCCTATTTGACAAAAGGGAGGTCAATACTCACTCAAATCCAGATTCAGTACTATCGTATTTAAAAGAAGATACGTATATACCTGTAATTGTTTAATTGTCTCTCCACCTTTCCCAATAACTAATCCTGCTTTACTTGCTGGAATCATAATTTCTTGGACTGCATTTCCAGGTCCATCACCATGATGAAATCCAGGTGCAGGTCTTCCCTTTTCAACTATCTGATCAAGTAATCTTTTTGCTGACCTGTCAAAGAAAATACACATTTATAAACACTTATTCCTGCAAGTATCACTTGCCCACACCTATTCTGCTTGGCATTTTTAAATTGAAAAGTTTCTGCGCAATAATTATGGTTATTATCACTAAGAAATATGAAGTAATCTCAAACAATCTGCAAAAGTAACTTAAGAAACTAACTGCAAAATAATAAAACCACCCCAATATTGGAATACAGAAGGTGGTCCTTTACCAAACATTTGCTAAAAATACTTACTGAACAGACTCTGGTGTTCCAGTTAGCATACACGATCTTTCGGGCAGGCCTCCACTATCTGCAATCATAAAATAAACTTATCAGTAGTGTTAAGTCAGAAAGAGATTATGAAATTAATCATAATACACAAGCTACCGAATTTTCATATTTAATGAAGTCGAATAATCAGCGTTTCCCATTTTGCATTTCTTTAGGCCATCATAGTCACGATTGGCACAAAACCTACATCTTAAATGAAGGCTCAGGCAATGAGAAGCAATGAGGAATCCTCTGGTCTTCCTACCAACCGCCCCACATCCCCCCCAAACAGACACCCCCCCCTACAAATAGTTACCAGGTGCAATCTGTATTTTACAGCCAGACTCTTGCTGTATGCGTGAGATCTGCTCTCCACCTCTGCCAATTACTTGGAGAAAGAAAATACAGAAAGATTATTTTTATTAACAGCATCTGCTAACATCCCCCACTGTACTACAAGAGCACACCCATACTACTTACTGAATCCAACCATCCCATCTGGAACTTTGTACTCCTCTGTCATCACAGACCTACAGCCAATGTTAAACAAAAGACATGACTATCTACAGACCAAACTGGCATTACATTTATATGTATCTTCCCACTATACTAAAGCAAGCTACTGCCTCACCATTCACCCTGGCTTACTTGCCCTCCCATTAACTTTAGACGTCATTATGCAAGCACAGTTCTACATAAGCTGACAACACACCGAAACGACACAAAAGGTTCAAGAGTCATACAAATCAATCAAAAGTTTTCCTTCGCTCTCTTTATTAAGAGGTGTGCAGTACAGAAAAGACTACTGTAGCGTTTTAAGTTTCATCTATATATTCATCAGAGGATGCTGGAAATTTTGGTATCTCAGAACTGTCCAAAGCATAAGTTGGATCTGGGTGTTTAGGTAAAGAAACAAGTGGAGAAAACAATGAAGTTGTAACAAATGTAGTTGAGTAATGCTCGGTATGAAGTCTGAATTATTTTATTTGTTTTAAAGTCAGTTTTCCTTTTAATTTACAAAATGGCATCACCCCCTTCCTCTTCAGATCTGCATCCAACTTCTAGCTATGCTACCTATGCTGAAGTAGTAAAAACCAGCCAACATATTTTCTTTTGATTAAGCTCGACCCATTGCCTAGACTGAGGAGAAAGAAAAAGAACACAATGTAGGTACATTTCAAATGTGTGACTTGGAGTTGCTAAAGCAAAATTTCAACAGATCACACAAAGACAAAGAAGAAATGCTTCATGTGTTGATACCATGTTTTCAGAAAAACTGCTTGAAACTGCTTTATTTCAATAAAACTCCTACATAAGATGTAGTATAACTCTTACCTTTGCTGCTGATGCATCGGTGGTAGCTGATTTCCAAAAGCTATAAACAAACATTGTTAAAATTAAATTCAAACAAGTGGCATAGCTTACAACTAAGCTTCTCCTTTGATAGAAAACACTCAACCATATCAAACTTCTGTCCAAGTCCACTTTTAAAAACTGTTATCAAAAGGTTTAAAAATGATAAAGACTTTCAGCTATTGCTACCATCCCTGTCAGTTTTACCAAGCAGACTCCCACTGCTTCAACAAAGTAAGGCATAAACCCCCAGCCACTTTTTGGATCTTGCTTATTCAAGTGTCACCTACCAGAACACTTACAAACTGTTGTTCTGAAAATATTACACTTGTTTAGGGTTTTTTGGCAACAAAATAAAAATTACTTACAGTCGTTCTGGGGAGCAACTTTCTTAGCATCTGGTTGATCTGCAAAATTAAGATTTTTAAAATTTTTTTTGCCAAGAAATTCAGGAAGTGTTTAAACCTTTTAGTGTGAATTGCAAATTTCCAGTGTATTTTAGCCCCCCCTTTTTTTTTTCCTTTCTTTCTTTTTTCTCCTCCAATTTCAGGGAGTTGATCATCTGAATAAAAGAAAGAATCTCACGAACACTCAGCACTTGGTTAGTACAGCTGTAAAGATGTTAGGTTTTTCCACGTATCTATTCAGTTTAACAAAAGGCAGCTTTCAGAACGCACTGTACGTAGATAACTCACAGATACCCAGTCACTGAAACTCAACTAAGACAAGGAACAAAGTTGAGCTTTGTTGGCTGCTCAAGCTAATGATGCTTCTATAGTAAAAAAGAAAAAAAAAAATAAAATCCATACAAAAACCAACTATAACTTAAAAAAATAATTCTCACAATGACCACAACTCTAGACCAAACATCTGAAAATAGAACAGTATCACACAGCAATGCAATCTCAAACTGAATGTTGATATGAAATCCCTATCCAAATATCAATCATTTCATAGCATAAAACTTCAAAAAAAAACCAAACCCAAAACAGATTCAAAGCAACTACATCACTACTGTCCGAATCCTTTCTGTACAGTAGAGAAATAACAGGCATCATGAACCTATATCTGAAAAGACAATACTTCAGATGCTTCCTTCCCACCCCAAAATAAAGGCTATATGAACCACCATAATTTATGTGCAGCAAAAACTCAGCCACATATTCCAATAAATATTTGTGTCAATCCAGAAAGATCCACTAGTTTATGTCATGTTTACATACTAAACACAGGTAATAAATAAAAATTCCTGCCTTTAAAAGGAGAGGGCATTCCCTCCCAGTGTGTTGTACTGCTCGGACTTGTCCAAGAGCCATCTACACATAAAATAAAAAGAATACATTACATATATCATCTGAAGCATCATTAGCTCATTTTTGTATATTAAAAACCTCACCTTTATTAGAAAAAAAAACTTTATTGTAGGACACAAGAACTCCTGATATAAAGCCTTAGATACATTCTGTAGACTGAGTTTCAATCCTCTTAAAGGAAAAAAAAATGCGTTTCTCTTTTTTGAGACCTAAGAGAACATTTCAGCAAGCCCAAATATTTCTTCCTGTAATTTAGCTAGGATTTTGTGTATATATTAACCATATCAAACCCTGTTAAGTTTAAAGTTGATGCTCTGAAAAGACAGAAGACGACACATTTCAGGAGAAAACTTTACTGCAGTGTAAGGCAAATCCAAAAAGCTGCAACAAGTCAGAAGATTTAAGTACGATTTTATCAGAGTTCACACATGCTGTGGGCTGAGCTACAGACTACGCAAAAGTGCCTTCAAGGTAAAAAATTTGCTTTCCCGTATTTTTTTCAAGTCCCATGCTTTTACAATAAAATGCATTAATATACTTTTATTTAAAACAGCGCACTAATAAAGTTAATGAAACAAGCTTCAGGAGCACTTCCTGCTCTAATCGTAATTGACAAGTTGTAACCAATCCCACGCAACCACAAAACACTTCGATGACACCTACCTAGGCATTTTGCAACTTGCCAATTTCTGTCCCTTTCCCCAGCACATATTTTTCTACTTGTAGGAGTTACACCACACTTAAAATAGTGTACAATAGGCTTACATTCACTTTAAGTTACAGCACAATGGTTTAGAATTTTCCCACTAAACATGAAAAAATATGTCATGATCTATGAGGGGAACAAAATGTTTTAATGCTTTGCCATGGAAAAAAAACAAATCCACAAACAAAATCACCGCCTGCAATCTTTCAGACACAGTGGCCATACTCCACAAAAATAAATGCAGCAGGAATGAGTGCGTACCTCCATCCTCAAGAGGTCTTTTCTGCCCTCCATAACCGTAGTCGTTTGAATTCATTGCTGTGCCAGCATCTCCTCCAATTTTCGCTGCAATCTAAACAAAAGGCAGATGTGAACCAAGAAGAAAAATAATTAATTCGGCCCATGTTTATTCCACGTCTTCTGAAAGATTTCAGGGATTTAAATAATGCGCATTAAAATGACTCCAAATGATTAAAAAGGCCAAAACCAGTTTCATTCAGAGGTTTTCTTCAATGTTTTAAAGACTTGTGCTCGTCCTTCATCAGTACAGCCTCCTAAAAAACCTAACGAGAACGTAGATTTTGGTGTTCAAAAGGCCTTCTCCTAAACAGGGATATTTTTTTTCTCTACGCTTTGTTCGCGAAACACTGGTACCTCACGGCGGGGCCTCACCGGCCAAACAATTTCAAATCCTAACTACACTGGGTCTTCAAATACTGCCAAAACCGCCACCACTTATTAACAGACGAGGCGAACATTTCGCCCAAGAAGCGATGAAAACATCGCCCGTGGTGCAGAAGCTACAAATAAAACTGCGGGATAAAGAGCTTCCGCAAGGGCCGCCCTCGCTCCGCAGGCCGCGGCGCTGCCCAACCGGTCCGAGCAGGCTGGGGCGCCACGGGCGCCACAACACGGCCCGCTCCGCGACGCCGCCACCCTCCTGTCCCTCCGCCGGGCCGGGCCCGATAACGCGCCGCTACTACCCCGCCGAGATTTCGCCTCCCCGCCGTCGGCGAGGGACCGCGCGGTGCGGCTTCTCTCACCACCGAATCCCCTCAGGCCGATCCCAGCGCTGCTCGCGGGCAATGGCGGAGCGGGGCTACAAATACCTCGCGGCCCAGGGCGGGCAGGTGGCGCAAAGGGGGCGTGGGGACAGGACAAAGCTCCCCCCAATACACACACACTGGCGGAGGGGCCCCCACTCCCCACAGGAGAGTGCGCAGCGCCCTCAATGTTCCCGCAGCTCCGAGACCGCGGCCTCCAGGCCCCGGGACCCCATTGATTCGATGGAGCCACACACACCTGCCTAGCCCTTTGCAGCGCGTCTTTAAAGGCATCGTTCACTCCTCCAGCCCCACCGCCGCCTCCCCCGGGCGCGCCCGCGGCAGGAGGGGGCACCGTGGAATAGTCCGCCATGGCCGCCCCGGCGCCGCTCCGGCCGCTGCCGCTGTCTGCCAAGAAAGAGAGAAAATGGCGGCGGGCGCGCGCCTTTCACATTCCTGCGCGGCATCGTGCTCGGGGGGAGCGCGCCGAAACCTCGCGAGATCTCGGGCGGGATTTCATGGCGGGCGCCGGAGAACGGCGGAGAAGCCTCGCGGCGTTTCTCCCAGCCCCGCCCAGCCGGCCCCCCGGGGCCTCCGGGGCCGCCCTGCAGGGGGGGGGGTGAGATCGCGATGTTTCTACGCGAGGCGCGAGGGCTTGGAGACGCTGCTGATAGGGCCGGGAGAGTCACGTGGGAAGAAGGGAGGGCAGCGTGTGCGGGGGGAGGCAGCGCGCAGTTCTCGCGTCATTTGGTTTGGAGTCGCGGGTGCGCGCGTAGGAGCCGTGGCTGCGCTGCGGGGGCTGCCGGGAGCGCGGTCGGGCCCGGGGCTGAGGCAGCGGCGACGTTCGGTGAGTGCGGAAGGTGCGCGGGATGGGCCTGGAGCTGCGGCAGCGCCGCTTGCCCGCGCCATACTGCACTTTTGGCATACTCTGCCTTCCCCGCTGGTGCCCGCCCGGAGCGGGCGGTGATGGTGGCAGCGACGCTGCCGTGAGCTGAGGGGGGAGGAAGGCCAGGCAGTCCTCCCGCTTGAGCGCGATGCTGCCCTGGGGAGAGACTTCCACGGTGCGCGGCCGCCGGGCGTTGTCACAGACAATAATGCGAGCGCCGTTTCCGGGCAGCCCGGCCGGCAGCGGGAGGGGCGAGGGGCAGCTCGCCGGCCGGTGCCGAGCCGGCGGAGCCGTTGGGCGGAGGGGCAGGGCACGGCCGCGCCGCAGCCGTCCTGTCCCGTCCCGCCGCTGCTCGCGGCCCTCTGCCCGCTGCGATCCCGCGGGCTCGGCCGCTCGCTTCGAACGGATTTTTGGGTCGTTCTCCACCCCGCGAAACGGGACCTCTTCTTTTACGAAGCTTCACTTGCTTCGTCTCGCGGTTGTCCATGGTTGTCTATTTCCTACCTGAAAATGTTAATTGGTAATGTACGTTTTTTATAGCTGGGAGATTTTTTCCTTGTCTGCGCAAGCACAAGCGTTAATGAAAAACTGGAGTCTATAATGCTTTAATCTGGGCCCTAGTAAGGTCCTGTGACCTGGTGGGGATGAACTGTCATGCTGAGTATGGATGACGGTGTTGTAAAGGCTTCACATCAGGATAAGGTCGTAGAACATCTACTTAGGAATCATAGCAGTAGAGACCGGCTAATTCTGGAGGGGAGCTGCTGTACGATGGAGATGCTTTACAGTTTTTAATGAATATTTACGTGCGTTGAACTCTTCCTTTTTCATGGGCTCCTGGTTTACATAAATATCATATTTTTTTTTAAACTGAGGCATGGCAAGTCTCTTTCAGCCCTAAGTGAGTGTGTTTCTTTGTTGTCGGTGCTTTTACTTGAGAAACTGTTGTTTTTGACTTGGCCTGGTTTGGGGCTGTGTGCAGGGACTCTTAGATTCGCATAAAATACCTCTCAGTGTTCTCCCTTCCCTGTCCTTCAGTGCTGCCTTGTAGTTCCATGCTGCCTTAAGGCGATTGTAATTGGGATAATTTTAATAGACTGTAAGTCAGTGTTGCTGAGCCCAGATTATCCTGCATTCTCCTGTGCCGGTAACTTCACTAAAGGGAGCTAAAAAAAATGCCAAATTTTTAACTCCCGTAACGCTCTTAAGGTAGTGTAGTTAAGAAAGGTTATAAGAGTAATATGTTCCACAAAGTTAAACATTCCTACGTGCTTTTAGGTGACAGTGTATTACTACAGCTAGATGAAACTTGCTGCTGTGATACTTTTGCTGAAAAAACCTGTACATAAGAATTAGTTTATACTTTCCATTAATGTAGCTGTGTTAGCTGGAAGGAATGGGGAAAAAAGTAAAATTAAGTTTGGAGCGTGGGAGTTTAATTCTTATGCTTGACTCTTTGCTGCTATTGCGAAACAATATTTTTTCATTCTCTTAGCTACTAATAGTTTGACTGTGTGTAGCAGGTACTTACTTGTCTAATTTTGTTTGAACAATAGTGGTTGACTGTGACGCATTGAAACCACTCCTGGCCACTTTTATGGCTCTCTCCTTATTGGATGAAGTGTCCTTTGCGTTTTACTGTTACAAAATGTGCTGGTGTTTCTTTGCTGCGGTCTGTGAGACAAGCCAGTAGCCATGTAATGCTGATGATTTTTAAGCAGTTATAATGCCTTGGGCTAATAAAAACACTCTTGTCTGGTACAATGTAAGTGTTCTAGTTGAATTCATAAACAACTGGTGATAGGTGAATGTTAATTTTCAGGGTTTTAAAATCAATTATTATTCTTTGAGGTGATGCTTTATTTGAAAGCTGAGAGTGACATTTAGTATATCTATTATTCCTCAGTCCTTGCAGTTCTTGAAGTCACTGTAGGCTTTACAGTCAGAACATGAGATTCAGCAATTTGAAGAGGAGAAAGATCTCACAGTATTGTACACTATATAAATATTTTGCCTTGACTTTCACTGTTCTAAGTTGATCTAATGACCATTATTAACACTTGCTTCTGTTTTATTTCCCATGATGGTACTTAAAACCAATCTGCTAGAAAACCACATCTCTTAAGCACTCTTATCTTAATTTCCCTTTATTAAGTGATATTTCTGTTGAGAAAAGTACCCCTATGGGATTAATTTTTTCTGTTTAATCTGTCAACGGAGTGGGGTAAGGATCTAACCCCATAACAATGCTAACTGCAGTATTTGTTCAAGTACTTCACTGACATGTCACAGCAGCATGCACCAGGATGTCCTGCTTTTTCACTTGCTAGAAGTTACCTGCACTGCCTGTTTGCTCACTCAGGTCTGCCTTCTAGGAAGTTAAATGTGCTTGATGTAAGTAGTTGTTTGGACTGGGTTCCTAGAGCGTGAGAACTTGAGTTTTGTTGTGTAAAGTAAGGTTCACTTCATATAGTAATTCATTCTTACTAAAGAAGGATGAATAGTGGAGAAATGCACCTCTTACCTTTCAGAATCCTAATAAATAGATAATTGGCAATATAAGAAATAGAAGAATATGGTAGAGATTGGAAGAAGATGTCTCCCTTAACTGAATTTACTAGGTTATGACATCTCTCATGGTTTTCAGGCCATAGTGGTTGTTTTTTGCAGTGGTCATCAGACTGAAATATTCTAGTAGGTATATTTACTGAGAAACAGCTAGTGTCAATATCTGACAAGTCAGAAAACCTCTTACTTGTGTGGGTTGTCACAGATTTAAGTAATGGATGGTTCTGAGGGAAAAAATAAGCAAATACTGTGTGTGAAAGAATCCTTTTATCAAAAGATCCTCAGGGTATTTCTGTGTTAGTTCAGGTGTTCTAAAAACATCGGTGTGCCAGTGTGCAACTTGACACAAATCGTCAGCATAACCAAAACCACTTCGGTGCATGCATGCATTGAGTTCTGCTGTGTTAATTGGGTTTTTCTTTCTCTTTTACAATTCACTTCAACTTTGCTCAGTGGTGACCAGATCAAAAGGTGTTTTGATTAGCTTTCCCTCAGTACACTGATGGCCTGTGCAGGAGAAGGGCTTACGCTGTGTGAGAGAAGGATAATCACTGTGATAGCTGTACATGCACATGCCATGCTTTCTGCAGGCTGTGCTGGAATCTGCATTTGGTGTCTGATGATTTTGTCCCTCTGGGAGATACAGATCAATTGATTCAGATTCTGTCAGCTCTTACTCCTGCTCTGGCAAAGTGTGTCCAGGATCTGCAACATTATCAGTAGAAAACTCTCTTTAATAACTGCTGGAAGAAGATTGAGCATGTGCCCTATCCAAACAACTGTCATGAGTTTTCATACTTACTACGTGTGCGCTGAAGTAGTAATTACAGTTTTCAGATCCACAATTTGGATAGTATTTGGTTAACTTTTACATTGCGACTTTGAAAAAAAAGAAGTCATATCTGGTGATTTTACCTTTCTTAGAAAAAGGTTTTAGTGTGTTAAAAACTTCACAGAGAAGCTGTATAATTGTAGAATCTTTAGCGCTCTTCCCTTGTATGTTTTATTCTTGCGAATCTCATCTGATATGTATTTGATTTAACATTTTGATTACCTTACTGGACGCTATCAAATTGCATTAAGCCACTGTTGCATTGGGTATGTCAGATATAGGAGGATAAGTCAGAGAACAGTCACTTCTTCCTTAGATACAGTTGCAGCGTGCAAAGAGACTGTGGATCACTGTGTTGAAGGAATGTGGCACAAAAGGCAGCTGGATAATATTAGTCAGCATGATCGTGCCATCAGTTCTCAGCCTCTGACTTGTTCGAAGGGGTTGGGTGTTTTTGTGGCTATGTCATGGGAGGAAAAGCTTTGAGAGAATTTGCTGTTAGCATCTGTAAAATTCTTCCCTGATGGGGGAGAAGAATGAAAGGCCTTGCTTGAAATAAGTTGGGCAGTGGAGCTAGGCGTGGAAGCTGAATATGAGTGGGGATTAAGAAAGGCTGAGATAGGAACAGAGACTGTGAAAGGAGAATAAACGATTAATGCAGCATTAGCTGTAGAGGATGGAAGTGTCTTAATATATTTCTCTGTCAGCAATGCACTGAAGAATGTGCATTCAAGTCCTGTTAATTAGTGAGTAAGTACTTTATTTAAGGCATTAAATTAATGTAATTTAAGGCATAATTCTCCTTTTGAAGTGGGAAAAACTTGTTTGCTCTAAAGGGGTTGGTGTACTTCTCTGTTACCCAGGCCTGACCTCTAGTAGTATTCTTTGTGATGCTGTTTAGTTAAGCTAACAATTGTACTTCTTAATTTGTGACTCAGAACATCTTACTTTTAAACGAATTGTGCATGTATCATAGTGTAAATTTAAAAAAAAAAACCCCAAACTTAGAAAGGTAAATATTTTCTGAGTCTGAGGAAAGAAGAGTGGAAGAGATGGTTTAAAAGCTTTAAATGTCTCATTCCTTCAGTCTGTAAAACCATGATTGTAACAAGCTTGTCTAACCTGAAAATCCTTTTCAACTTTTTTGTAAGGAACACATGCGTATTTTGTGGAAAAAAAAATTTGTTTGCAGTGAAGTTCATGAATGTATCAGGATGTTTTTCTTTAATAAATCAATAG